CTGTGAGACACCAGATGAAATGCTGTGGCCTGGACTGTCAAAGTGAGGCTACATTCCCATGCATATGGTGACATCAGACCCTCTGTACAGCTGCTCAGGCCTTTCTAGGGCCAGGACAGCTGGGAAGGCAGTGGGCAGGCTAAAGCAGGGTTTTTGTTGTTGTTTGGCTGCTTTGGTCTGGTTGGTTGATCAGCTGGTTTTTGAGATAGGGTCTTAACTGTGTAGGAAGTCTGGCCTTGAATTCATGTTCCTCCTGCCTCCATCTCCCAAGGACTGGGATTACAGAAGTGAAACACAATGCCTACAGGAATAATGGCCAGAACTGTTGACGGTCTCTGGGCTGGACGATCAGAAGCAGCGACAGAAGGGGGGCACTGCTGGTGATGAGGACTGGGTTGAGGGAGAGTCGGACGTAATGCCAGAGGCCCAGCCAGACACTCTGCATTCTAGGCTTTCAACTCAACCCAACAGGTGATTCAAGGAGCAGAAATTAGAAGTTTGAGAGGAACTCACTTAGAGGTGGTCAGTAATCTCAGAGAGTGGAAAAGGTAGAGAAAGAAGTTGGGTTGCCAGAATTTTAGGAGTGGGGAGAGGAAAACGAGCCCATGCAGGTAAGAAAGGGCAGAGAGACGCTAAAGAGAAGTGTCAGCTCAGGGAGGTTCAGTGTGTGAAGGTGCCACATGGCCGTGACACCGGGTGATGGCATCACAGAGCAGTACAGGGTAGCAGACAGCATGCACACAGCAGAGTAGGCTGCTCCTACACAGGATTGGAACTCGGCTGGTGGGTATGGGGCTGGGCTATTTAGGTTGAGGGTGACCTGTATGCCCATAAATGGAGGAACAGTGGGCTGGGCTGGACTGGGAGAGAATGTTTGGCTGAATACATGACAAAGCTCAGGGAGCACAGAGAGGAAGCCACTGCAGGCTATGAACGGCCACGCCCCAGGAAGACGAGAAGGCAGGAGCAAGCACAGTCCTGCGTGTCCACCTGTGTGCTCTCTGATGCCCCCACAGCTTCATTGCTTTCAGCCTCTCTCATCCCAAACACCAGGACTGTCACCTGCAGGGAGCCTGGCCTGCCACCTGCAGTGTGGCCTGTGCCCATTTGTGCTAAGTCACAGCCCCTGGGTTCTCCTTCGTAACGTGATCCCCACTCATACCAGCTGTGCTCATACTGAGTATTTTACATGCCTCTCCAGTCTTGTAACATTGATTCTACAATCGACCGACTTTACAGTAAAACATCCTCTTGTGATAGTTGGGCCCAGCAGAGAACAACCCCAGCACAGAGTGGCCCCTGAGGGGAGAAGGTAGGGCAATCTGGGGAACCCAGATCCCAAAAAAGTAATAGCTAAAGAGCAACAAGGAGCAAGGTGGATGAGGAACAAAGAGGCACGCCAGAGACTGGGTGAGGAACCCGAGGAGACTCATATGTGGTGACTCTAGTTTGGCACTGTGGCTCATGCCTGTAATCCCAGCTACTTGGGAAGCTGAGATTGGGAGGATCACAGTTCAAGGCCAGCCCAGGCAAAGAGTTCGTAAGACCCCATCTCCAAAATAACAGCAAAATGGACGGGAGGTGTGGCTCAAGAGGTAGAGTGCCTGCTTTGCAAACATGAAGCCGAGTTCAAACTCCAGTCCTACCAAAAAAACATAAAGAAAGAAAAAAAAAAAAAAAGAAAGAAAACAAAGAGGCTCAAGTACAAGGTCTCCCTTAGCCCCTGAAGGCGGGAGAGCAGGTGTGGCACTCCTGGGAGGGCCAGGGTGTCAGCAGGGTCCCTGGCCTGGACACTGAAGCTATGAAGAATGCTCACAGGAAACAGGGGTAGACTGGGTACAGCCAAAGTCTCTACAGGCAGAAGTAGTGAGTGAGGAGCTATTGCAAGGCATGCTAGGGAGAATGGGAGATGGCCAACTGACATGGATGACAACAGGAGTGACACCTGTTGAGACTCACATGACATGCAGGCTGCACAGGAAGAAGAGCAGGCAAGGGAAATGAAGGGAATAAAATAAAGACAGAAAGGAAGAGGGATCAGGAGACACTCGAGGGAGTAAGTCACACAGCTGCTGCCTCCACAGTGACTCTTATGAGACGAAAGCAGAAAGGGCTGAGCTTACTAGACATGAAACAGGACTCCAGCCTGGCAGCAAACACATCATCATAATCCTGAGGATGCTTTTAAAGATCAGAATGAGAAACCAGGAGGTGAACACTCCACGAGGTACCCTGCCACACACACGCTTGACTGTCTTCTGGGTTTTCACCTATCTGGCAGTTTCTAAAGACACAAAGCAGGAGGGTGTGAAGAGAAAGACAAGGTTCTGTGAGGAGTCATTGAGAGAAGCCGCAGCGCACAGGCTGCAAGGGAGACCTGTCCACAGTGGCCCACAGGAGTCGTTGAAGGCAAGTCAAACAAACTCACAATCCTCCTCTCTCGGCCTCCACAAGTGCTGGGATTGCCAGGATTACAGGCATGAAGCACCATGCCCAGTAAGCAAGGACAGTTACTGTCTGAACTCTGCCTTCCCTCCCTCATGTACCACTGTCCAGGTTGAGGCAGTGCCTGCAAAGACATGTCTGAATACATGTGAAGCAGGGACAGCCTTCTCTGCCCCCACCTCCCCACATGTTCAAACCAGGGCCTCATGGATTAGCAGACTACACTGGTCTATTTGTCACTGGCTCCTCGGCAATGTTCCCTGCTAGAGAGTAAACTCTAGAGTAGAGCCCCAGGACTGTGTCCCCACACCTGGCCTTGTGCAGTAGCCCAGAGAGGTGACTGCGACCTACTGGGTGACCAGGGGTTGGAGCCACAGCAGGTCTGCAAGGGACAGTTTCACTGAAGCCCAGCCTGTCCCACTCCCTCCCCCAAGGTCCTTGTGCCTGGTGGGCTCTCTGCAAGGGAGTCTCCTCTGCAGGAGAGGAATGAACACTGCACAGCCTCCCTCAGTGCCACATGGAAATGCTTCCTGTGCCCTCCCATCTACAAAACAGAGCTGAGAAACGACTCTTTCCCAAGAAAGGTCAAGAAACCACATAGAAAATGTCTGAGGAGCTTCTGGAATGGGAACCCCGCAGAGCCCCTCCTCCAGGGCGAAGTTCATTTGCAGAGCTCCCTTCGCAGCCCCGCAGCGCCACCTTCAGGAAGGAAACTGCTGTGCCTGTAGCTCCTCCCATGGTTCCCAACCAGGAACAGATTTTAGCTAAGAGGCTGTGGGGACAGGGAGGGGGGAGGGGGTGTTGAGGAGGTAGGGTTGGGAGAAGAACTGCCATAGCAGCACTGAACATGCCAGGTACAGCTCCACTGGGCCTCCAAGGAGGGCTCAGCCAGTCATCCAGTCCAGGCACCTGGCCTCAAGGACAGGTCCAAGACTGGGGCTTTAGTTCCTGCAGTTTACAGCCATGTCCTTGAAAGGTCACCTGCTGTCTGCAACACCCCATCTCCAGGTGACCAAGCCTCCTTTCTGCAGGGACTTGAGCATGGAAACAAAGTTGTCAACACACAGCACAAGCAAAAGAACACCAGCCCATTCGCATCAATTTCTAGTTGCAGGGGAGAGACGATGGGGACACTGCAAATAATACATGATGTGGGGGTGGTAGGGATGGGGGGAAGAGATGACCCAAACAATGTATACACATGTGAATAAATGTATAAACAATTTTTAAAAAAAAAGTAATCCACACAGATGGCCTGGCTCTCCAGTGGATTTTTAAAAATAAAAACCTATATGTAAAGTATAAAAAAAGAATGTATAATGTAAGTCTAATTGTCCCCTCCTGTATAATGAATATAGCCTAATAAAAAAATTCTTTTAAAAAAAATTTCTAGTTGTAAAGCTTTGTCTGAACAGAGGGAGGGGGAGGACAAGCCAGCTGTGCAAAGAGCTGTCTCCCGCCGAGTCAGCCAGTGTAAGAGGTAAAATCAGATTTAGGGTATGAAGCACAGGCTGCCTCTTACACGTATCCAAAGGATCCTTTTTGTTTCCATTTGGTTTAGCTTTTGAGACAGGGTCTCACTATGCATCTCAGGCTGGCCTAGAACTCACAACACTCCTCCCTCCACCTCTCAGGTGTTAGGATTGCTATAATTACAGGTGTGCTGAACAAGGCCCAGCTCAAAAGATCCATTTTATACTGTCTACTCCAACCACATGTACTTGAAAAAATAGTGTAAGAAAGGGGGCGGGGCGCTTTCCTTAAGAATGATCCTTCAAATAATCTTAAAGTCTACATTTCGACTGACTCAAAAAGTACCATCGGGGACTTGGAACATGAACCACACAAAGATGGCAAGAGAGAGAAAGCAAGTGATATCATGAGTGAGAAACAGACTGTTATGTGAGAAAAAGTTATCTACACAATAAATAAAAATATTAAATATGAAAATAATCCTCTAGGAATTAAAAAAATTTAGAACTAACAGGGCTCTTCTTTCAAGGAACAAAAAACAAAAGTCAGTGATAAAGCTGATCTGAGACAGATAAATGATCCAACTCTCCCCAAGGGTATTTGGTTAGAGAAGAGCACCGTTAAACACTGCCAAAGACCTCTTAGTGCTAGGACAGGACTTGGCTCTAAGTAGCTTCTTAAACATGCTCTTAAGGGCAGGGTGAGCCGAATTCCTAGCCCCTGCATTAGTGAAGAATGGTCAGCCCTTGCCATGTCAGCCCAGCAGCTTTGAGCACTCCAGAAACACCTTTTGGAAGCTATACTACAACCACAGCTGCCTGCTGCTGAAGCTCAGCTCCAGCAGGCACTGCTGCAGCCATGGCTGTTTCAAACAGCTTCTGTCAGATCTTTCTGCCATCACAACCCTTGTGAACTCTATTAGTCAATTTTACCCACTCCAGATGGAGAGCACTTTCACCAGTAGCCCAGCAGGAGACCTGTGATTAGTGCAAACACAGCCCTTCATTTGCCCAGACTGTTGTGATTGGGGCAGACACCCTGGCCACCCCCCTTGCTGGCTGTTAGGTTCACTTTTCCAGTTGGGGGATTTCTTCACTCAAACAGCTATGTCTACTCAGTGGACTACTATGCAGCATTAAAAAATATATCAAGTATTTTTATTGACCCAAAGACATCTCTGAAATATTACATAGGAAAAAGCATTTTGACCAACTTAACTGTTATATATTTATATATACCTGTACATCTGTACATACTCATAGTACGAGAACTAAAACAAGACACTCCTGGTGATGACAGAGGTTATTCGAGTATCTGATGCCATGAGTAAGTTTTTAAATATTTTTCCTTCTATTTTTATGTTCTCAGGTTGGTACAATGAAAACACACTGTTCAGGTAATAAAAACATTATTTCTTAAACCAGATAGAAAAAAAAAACTGCAAAATGAACTTCATACTGAAGCAGGAAGAACAGGCAGGAGTCCTGGCACCTTTGCTCAGACCATCTATCTGCCTGACAGATGTGTTGCCCTGCCCTCAGCTAATGCACCCCAGTGCCATAAGGATTCTCAGAGAGAAGGTACAAAAGCGGCAGTTCGAGAATGCCTCCTGTGAGGCCTGAAGAACTTAAAGGGCAGAGCTATTAAGCAGGATTTAATTACAGACATGTGCTGGGAGCAAAGTACCAAAGTCTACTTCTGACTAGGGTCAGAAGGAACATGTCACAGGTGTCAGTCATTTTCCCACCAAATTAATCTTGTTCCAGGAACTATTTCCAGGATTCTAAAGCAACACTTACTTAAGAAAAGATGCTATTGCTCACACTCAGGTTGACACAGGAGGATCCCAATTTCAAGGTCATCCTGAGCTACACGGTGAGACCCCCGTCTCAAAATACTAAGAAGAAAAAAAAAGTACTGATGTTCTGGGTTGGCGTGTAGTTTCCTGGCTGGTACAAGTGCATAATTCATGTGCATGAGGCCCTGGGCTCAGTACTCAATGCAAAAAAACAAGAAAAAGTGATTGCAAAAAGACATATTAAGAAATCACTCAGTAAGAAAACATTACATAGCCCTAAAGGCTTCCCACAGGTGTCCACACTGTGCAAGAACACCTGAAGTCTCTCTTCCCAGGCTCTGGACCATAGGCCACAGCCTCCTCAAGGTGCTGCTGATGCCGTGCACCTACAGCTGGGCCTAGGCGGTGTATCTTTTCTCTCCTTCCTGCTTAGCCTTGTGGTACTTGAGGTAGTCGCTGTACAGCTCCTTAAAGATGTCTCGTGCTCCAGGCTGCAGTGAGACCCGCAGGAACTGGACATTGGGCTCAGTACAAAGGTCAAGGATGAGATAAATGCCCTCCTGCAGCAGGGTCTTCACGGGTGGGTACAAGGTCACCTGGGGAGGAAGGCAGAGCTCTGAGCATGAGTAGGACAGATCAGTGTTGTGAGCACTCTGAAGTACAGAGGGCCCACAGCATGAAGACGGCACAACCACTGGAAGTTCTGGGCTTCAGGTGGCTCGTTTCTAAGACAAGTCTGTTTCCACAACAACGAGGTCACTGGCCAATGAACAACTCAAAGCTCCCTGGGAGGGATGAGCAGTAAAGACTGCTTACCCTGAGCTAGCAAGGTAGAGGACTGTCACAAATGCCGTGGGGTAAAAGAGAGGACAAAAGTAATGTTTTGTTGGGAGCCTTCACCACGTGGAGGGGGCTAGACAATGGGCCTGCCAGCAGCAGTGTCTGCTTGTCCCTCACACCCTGAAGAAGCATGAGGGAATGAATGCAGGGAGCTACTTAGCTGTGCTTTCTGCCCAGCATTTAATTGAACCTAGACATGTTGGCCTGGAGAGATTTCTCCCCAGTAGAAGCCTCAAATGCACATGGACTATTTTATTCATTACTAAATTTAAAACAAATGGAAGATAAGCAAAGACTGTGCTGCCAATGCACTCTGAGATGTGACAGCCTTAGAAAACTCACAAGGCCTTTTGCTTTCAAAATTAAAAACAAAAACAAAGAGGATAAGCATAAATTGGACATGAATAATGAGGCCAGGAAACCAGAGAATTCTCATAAGTAAATCTCAGAAAAACAGTGACTTCGGGTTCAAGAACTGCTGCCTTTCTTGGCCCTCAGTGAAATTACTGTGTCTCATTTTATTTTTTGGTAAAGGAAAAAAAAGTCAGCTTTTCTTTCATCCAAAGCTTACCTGTTAATGACTCAAGTGCTTAGGAAGTACTAAGATTTTATAAAAATGCTAAATAACTGCAGGGAAACCAAGCATCACGTCCACGTCCCTCAAAGTGCATCTGAGGGTCTTCTCCCACTCCATGGCTTCTACACACCATTCTGCCCCGTGAAGACCCAGCCACGCACGCATGCATGTGGCCAGCCTGCCTGCTTCCTCACCGAGCCAACTGACCATCCAGAGGACAGGACCTCCACATGCTAAAGCCAGCAGGGCTATGAGATGCTGACCCTCTACCCACATAAGCCCGCCAGACACTCCACATCGTGCTTACCAGACTTGCAGAGAGGGTTGGCTAATTTCCAAACAAGTAGAAAGCAACGTAAATGTGTATAGACACATATAAGCTGTTGGACGGATGGACGGACACACACACACACACTCTCTGTATCTAGCTGGCGTTCTGTCTGATACAGTGTATCTGACACTGACATTCAATTAAACAAAATAAAGGTTTCTACCATTCAGTTTATAGTCCTGTAGTGAACTTATGGAAGTTTGGAAAAAGCGCACAGACATTCCAAAGTGAGGTAATTGCATATTTTGTTTTTGCTTTTTTCTTTCTTTCCAGTACTAAGGTTTGAACTCAAGACCTTGCACTTGTACTTGAGCCACGTTCCCAGCCCTTTTTTGCTTTCATTTTTCAGACTGGGTCTCACAATTTTTGCCTGGAGCAGCCTCAGATAGGGATACTCCTACCTAAGGCCTGTGTAGTAGCTGGGATTTCAGGCATGTGCCACCACTCACCACCCAAAGCAAGATATAATTCTTAAATGAGTCCAAAAGTTAGATTTAGACAAAAATTGCTGTAAATGAACCTCCCAGTATCTTCTTCATCTTGCTGTCTGCTCTGAGCATCTGAGAACTACAGAGTCTAACAGATGACAGACCCCAGGAATTCAGACCCACAAGCTGCTGCTGCTTGGGGCCCCAGGCCATGGTCCAGACCATTCCTTCAAGCCTCCACTGGTCTAGTCCCATGGTCCCATGAGAGCTATTGTTCTTGCCCCTGGGTGACATCTCGCCTCTCCATCAGATTACTAGCAGCCTTATTCCTTTACAATTCTTTAAAACCTTGCTTCTAAAGTCTTTCTTTAAAACCTTGCTTCTTTTCTATTCCTTAGTCTCTTTCCTTAGACTCACTCTGTCCATGCTCTCTTAGCTTTCCTCAGCATAATCTCTCTTAAAGTCTTTGCCCTCAAGCTTGCACTGTCCCATGTTCCCTTTAAAGTCTCGGTGTTCAGACTTGCAGACAAACAACAGCAGCCATGTCTAAAAACTGCATTAGCATAACTCTTAAAGTCTCGTCCTTAGACTTGCACTGTCCCATGTTCTCTTTAGCTTTCCTTTAGCTTACCTTTTCTAAAACCTGTGTATAAAGTTCCTGGTGCAGACTTGCACTGTCCCATGTTCCCTTTAATCTCTAGCACAACCAGCAGTCAGCTACATCATTCAGCAAGCAGCCCACCAATCAAAAAAAAAACCCCAACCCTCTTCAGCAAGAGTCTTTTATATCCAGTGGTAGGAGGTGGAGCAACAGTTCTCAGGGAGGGGTGTGACATTGTAATAAGAGAAACCTGCCATTCCTACTTCTCTGAATGTAAACAACTTAGGAAAAATAGTGCATCTTGCACTTCTCTCTTCTGCAGCTGGGGCTGTGCCAAACTCAGCCTGTAGATCACTGGGCAAAACTGTGCTAATGACAGGTTCTCATAGGCTTCTCATAATCCACTCCCCACAGAAACCCCTGGAAAGAGACAGTCAGCCTGGATTTTACCTTCTGCACCTCTGTCACATACTGGGCCACGAGGAAGGGGGAAAACACAGTGAACTCCTCAGCTCGTGTGGCAATGTGGCTATACATCCTCTCCACCAGGCGCGCACACTCGAGGATCACTGGCAGGTCATCCGAGTTTCCTGCAGACAGGACACAGTCCCCAACGGATTAGTTCAGAAATGCCAAGTTTAACTGTTCTAGCCTTACACTTTTAAAATACGGAATTCCCTTGAGTCTTTCACTTTTTCCAGATTTATTGGCTTATTTTGCAGACAGAATAAGGGAAAAAGGAATGTTCAAATATTTATCTACATTACAAAGAGGAGAGCACTTACAGTACTGGAGTCTGTGGGTCTAACTAGAAAACAACATTTTCAGGATGAAATCCAGGATTGCTAGTGCATTGTAAAAATTGATAGATATCTATAAGGCAGGCTAAAATGGAAAATTACCCTCAAGAAAAACAATGGTTTATTGAAATATGATTTAAAAAACACCCAAATGAGGTCTTTGCCTCTGCCCAGTCTATAGCACGCATTGGAGGCCAGGCTAGAAAGGTGGCACAGGGTCCTTTGAAATGAGGAAGTTTATCACCTCTCCTATTGTCCCACCAAACTAAACACACCTGAATGTGGCTATCGTCATTTTCACATTCCCTGCAAATGCTGTATGTTCAATAAAAATTTCCTAGGTCCAGAGACTTCTTTCCAGAAAAAGAACTGTTTCAGTTAGAGGTATCAGATGAATCCACTGTTTTGGATTTGATAAAATGTGAGTTTGGGATTTTTAAAAATAATCTTGAATATTCATTTAATGATCTGAACATTTCTCTTTCTTGAACTCAACTGAGTAGCTCTGTTTGCAATAGTGTGTGGCTGGAGACCCTGCATGATAAACATGTGGATTGTATACCTGAGCTGTGTTGTTACTCTGCATTACCTTTGTCTTTCTGACGCCCTTCATGCATAACTGAAACCACCAGCTTGTGAAATGAGTTCAAGAAAGATGGGACGGCCTTCAGCATCACCTGCAGCAATACATAAAGGAACAGAGCATGTAAGTGTGACTATTTGCCCGCTTGCTTCCTCCTTCACCCTTGCCCAGCAGGACAATCAACAGGTATGCACCCAACTGCCCAGCAAGCACTGCACACCTTGTTGGCTGGTGTGACTGCTCACCTGCCTACACATGGCTCTTTAAGAGTTTGGGGTAGGAGTTCCACGTAGCACAATTTCCAGATTATGTAGAGTAATCCAGGTTCAGAATTCACTGAATCTGTGCCTACTCTGAGCTAGTTCTAATCCATCTTGGAAATGTGTAGAAATAAATCATAAAGGAACAACAGCAAACAACTTAATTCAAGTAGACTTGATATTAGAAAAAAAGATTACATAAACAAATTCACTTAAAATGGGAACCAAAACCGCTCAATTAATAGTGATGAAAAGGTCTGAAATGACAAAATGTGCCTTTTTTATACTCTACCACCTCTTGTCAGGATCAAAACCACAATGCCCACCTACAACCACGAGCTTATGTACCAACTTATGTTTAAGTCAGTTAGGATTAAATAAAGTTAAATATTCAGCTCGCAGTCATACTGGGCACGTGCTGGGCAGTGCTGCTGCAGCCCACACAATGAACAGAGAGCAAATCAAGCATCAGGACAATTCTCTCTGGTATAATTACTCCAAAAAAATTCCATCAAGCATCACACCACAGCCTTCCTGTCAAACTGCTGTCATCTGCCATGTGCTCAGGAAGGTCACTTTTGCAAAAACATTCCAGAGTTTGCTCACATTCTCCAAGACCTCTCTGAATCCTGGGTAGTATATGGATGAAAAGCCCAGGCCAGACCATCTGGCTCCACACTGACTTCTTACAGGACTTGGATAAATAATCTAGCCTGTGTGTGCGTGCCTCAGTTTCCTCATTTGCAAAATGGGGATAAAAACAAGACTAATGGCTAAAATGTGTGAAGTGCTCAGCACATCACTGGCTGCTGGCCTTCTACTGGTGTCCAGGTTGTGCTGGCTTCTACCACATCCTCCAGGTGCCTGGAAGGATGGTAGCCATGTCAATGTAGAATGAACACTGTTTGTGCACCAGCCTCCCCATGTGCCCCAATAGTGACAAGTAGTGTTATGTTGTGGTTAGCCACGTCAGCCTTTATGGAACACCATACAGTCAACATGTCAGTTTCTCCAGTCACTGAAATGATGTAAGTCCACTAATGCTCATGTGTGGGCAGGATTGCAGGACACTCAAGGGCTTCCTGATATTACTTTATCGCCTCATGGAGTCCTACATCTTTTGCAAGATCTACGGTCTCAGACTGTGAGTGACTGTTTTGCACTGTGTTTCTATTATTCTTCAGCAGCATAGAGGCAGCTTACCTAGGATGCTGTCGAGAGGCAGGCCAAAGGCAACTGCTAGCTAGGGAAGGCTTTGGAGTGAGGCCCAACTTCATGGGTCTTATCTTGCCAGAAAAGCGTTTTTCTTAAAAACTGCATTGCTCCTGGGAGCTGGTGGCTCACACCTATAATCCTAGCTATTCAAGAGGCAGAGATCAGGAGGATTGTGGTTCGAAGCCAGTGCGGGCAAATAGTTCTGTGAGACCCTATCTCAAAAAAAAAACCCATCACAAAAAAGGGCTGGTGGAGTGGCCCAAGGTGAAGGCCCTGAGTTCAAGCCCCAGTACCATACAAACAACAACAAAAAAAACCCTACATTGCTGTCAAGTGTTTATCCTCACATCAAAATACTTAAAATATCAAAATGTGCACATGTGTATGTACACACACCATAGTTAAAGAACCCTGGTCAGGCTGGGTCCAGTGGCTCATACCTATAATCCCAGCCACTCAGGAGGCAGAGATTGGGAGGATCACAGTTTGAGGCCAGCCCTGCCAAAAAGTTTGTGAAATTCCATCTCAACCAATGGCTGGACATGGTCGTGGTGAAAGCTTATCACCCCAGTTACACAAGGAAGCACAAATAAGAGGATTGTGATTCAGGCTGGCCAGGGCACAAAGCCAGACCCTATCTCAAAAACAACCAAAGTAAAAAGGGCTGGAGGCGTGGGTCAAGTGGTAGAGCACAGGCCTAGCAAGCACAGGGCCTTGAATTGAAACCCCAGTATTAAGAAAGAAAAGAAAAGACAAGAAAGGAGGGAGGGAGGGAGGGAAGGAAGGAAGGAAGGAAAAGAAAAGAAAGAAAGGAGGGAGGGAGGGAGGGAAGGAAGGAAGGAAGGAAGGAAGGAGGACCTGTGCCAAAGGTATCAAAAATTTCTAGTCCAAGACTCACGCTCAGCTAAGTGACGTTGGCCAAGCCATTTAAGGACTAAGTCTCCTGTTCTTCATCACTGAATGGGATTGCCACATCCTGCAAACCTGGTCCAGGGTAAAACAGCAAGTAAGCAACAGTGCTTGCTGGCTATGCGCTTGCTCATGGGACATGCATCACTAGCCTCTGTCCAACGTATATGGCAGCCACCTGTAAAACAGGAACTCAGGACTATAAACCAGGGAAATGTAAGCCAGGCATTGACTCCCTTAACTATGTTGACCGCAAAAACAGAGTAATTCTTAATGAGCCTCCCTGAGTATCAGTACACAAACCCCACTCAGTGCCAGGCTCAGCAAAGAAGAGCTCAAGTGGCCAGTATGGAGGTCAAGCATTTCTGTGCTTAGAAACCACTGTGACCCTGTGAATCAATAGAAGCAAAATGCCCACTGGCAGATCATTACTTTCACCAGCCTGCCACAGGGGGGCTTTTCTGCAGCTTTTCTTTCTTTCCTGGTGATGAAACCTGGGGCCACACACAGGAGACACCTGGGGTGCACCACTTACACTCCAGCCCTACTGCTGCTTCTCTGAAGGAAGCAGTCCAGGGTCACATGCGGCAGCTGTTGGCACTCTTCCCCTCACCTTAGGGTGGCACTGCAGGATGGAGAAGAGCACGCTGTGCATCCTGAGGAAAATGCTCTTGTATTCTGCTGGCTTCAAATGGTCCAAAGGAACTGTCAGCAGGATGCTGAAGGCCAGGCTGACATGGTGGGGGTTGCTGATGGCCTCCTCTCCCTGCCGCAGCAGGGCAGCCAGAACATCTAGAATAGGCCCAACCACAGCCACGGCCACAGGCTGCTCCTGACAGGCCTCTCGGTGTTGCAGCTACAAGGCAGAATGGGCGAAGGAAAGAGTGAGATGAAGTAAAACAATACTTCATAGAAATAACACAATGCTGAATCAGCAGGTGACAGAGGAAAGCCTGCCCATGCTCCAAAACGAACTTGCCTGCCCAACATGTAGTGCGAAAGGTCAGGGAGGCCAGTGTACAGTCGCTAAGAGTGGCCTGCTATGGACCTGGCTCATCCATCAGGAAGAGAAGCAATTCTTGTAAAGGAGATGACATCTTAGTTCTCATGAAAACTGTTTGTCAGGCACACATATTTCCCCATTAGTTCCTCATGTTTGTGATTAAACATCACTTATTAAATTTCTTAAAAATCAGGTCTAAAGAGCTCAATTATTGCTCCAGAAAGTAAAAAGAACAGACTCAAGAGACAGTTCAAAGAGTTCACTAGGTCACCTGGAAGAGCATACCTGGGCTCTGAGCACCTGGGGAGGCCTTTAAGTCCCAAGTCCACACTGCCCCACCCCTCTGTAGGCATCTTGGCTATGCAGACAGCTGGACACACCCATTAGAGGCACCTAAAAAGGCTCCAGCCTGGCATGTATCAACATATACATGGTCACCAGTGTGGCCACCAGTAGCATGTCCCACTTCTCCTTCATGATCAGCACACACACTGGATGAGTGACATGCTTCAGGCACTGGTGCATTCTCAGGAAAATGGCATAGCAGCAAATTTGAAAGCTGCTTTCAAATGGAGTCTAGTTTTTAGGACCTTTGCTCTAGGAATATACAGTCCAGGATAATTCTCTCAGCAATAGCGAAAGCCAGAACCAGGGCTTGAGAGGATGGTAGGCAGATATTGCCCCTTTGTACCCACAGTAATAATACTTGGGGTAGGCTTACTGGGGGGTGGGGAGGACAGGAACAGTGGTACCGACCCAATCTGACCCTGACTTTTGTTCTGGTGAATTTTGCCGGACCCAAAATTCAATGCCTAGCTAGGATGTAACGGTAACCTGCCTGCAGTGTCACTATCCTCTGCCACAGGGCACTTTCCTTCACCACACCCCAGGCTCCAAACACACACGTACCCCTCCCAATAAAGAGCTGCAGTAGACTGACCACAGCATTTCGTGGGCACAAAGAATGTCCCTGGATTCTCCCTCACCAACTCCGGTTACAAGGTCCAAAGAAACCTCCCCTTGTTACCATGTCCTTTCATCACTGCCTGTTTGATGCTCTGCACCCTTGTCCCTCCTCACCACCTCTACGCCAGGCTGCTACTGTTGAGCAGTGTGCAGATGGGACACAAAGGGATACCCTGCTCATGGCCACCTCCAGGACACAGCCCCAGAATGAGAGGACACAGAGCCCAAGCAGCTAGTTGTGGTCTTAGAAAAGAGGGATGGGGGGAGATCTCCAGGGGTCCCTCACCGTCAGAGCTGTGATGATCTGAGGACATGCACGCCACAGCAGACCGGCCTTCTCTCCACTGAGTGGGCAGCTCAGCAGCAGCTTGAGCAATCTGATAGCGCACAAAACAGCCTGAAATGAGAGGGGACCCTTCAGAACGGGGCATCCAATCCCTTAGACCTCTCACTAGCACTTGCTGGCAATAACATGACAGAAAGAGCCCTGGAGACCCCAGGTGTTGGGCTCAGGGCTAGGACCATCAGGGCTGAGTTCTGAGAGTGATGACACCCTCTAGGCTGGCACACAGACAAAGGTCCATGAAGCTCTGGCAAAGCTGGCACATGAAGGGCCCAGGACAGCAACCTCAGCAAGGGCTAACCACAGACTCCATCTTGCCAAGATACTGTCCACAGAGGACGCTGACTGACAAGCTGGGAGGAAATGCTGGGTGAAATGTGGTGATCACAGGTGACGGTTTTAGACCACAGCACAAGTGGGCAAGGACCTGCTTTTATCAAATGCCTCTATATTTTATTAAATGCCCACGTTTCACACCTTCAGTTTCAGCCTCACAACAGCTTCTTACCCCTCCTCTAACACTGTGAAGCCCCTCAGCCAAGCCTGACCCTGGCCTCTGTTCTGAGGTCATGCTCCTCCTTGAGCATGCCTGCAAGTCTCAGTTGCCACTCTCCTGTACACCTGAGGACAAATCTATACACTGAGGGCCCTGTGCCCATCCATTTACTCACATTCACATGCTCTCTGCTCTAGCATACCTGCACACTCTCGTGCTGTGTGCCCTACCCATTGCCCCTCCAAATCCTTCACTTGTTAACTCTTGGCTCAAGTCTCCTCCTTCCTGAAGCCTCTGCTGACTACTCATCCAAATAAAAACTTGGGGTTTATTTTTCCTAGGTTTGCTGAAGGGAAGCCCATAAACCCAGAGTCCTTCTCAAAGCTAAGGCCCAATCAACTGTGGAGCTACACAGCAAAAGTTCAGAATGGGCAAGCACTGCAGGCAGTGGGTGGGGCTGGTACAAAGCTCCCAGACCCTTGAGCTGAGAGAGCTGGCCCTGTGTCCAACTCTGCCCTGCCCCTTCCCAGTCCTCATTACCCTCCCACCCAAATAAAAACCCAATCTCAGGTGTTAACTATGACCAGGAGTCAAGAAGCCACTCTGAGGTAGAAAAGAGCTTTTGCTAGCGACATGGACGCTTTCTTCCTCTAGTGCCACTGGGGAAGTAAGTGAGACCAGTCCAGTACCCAGGATCATGTGGGAGAAGAGAGCCTCAGCATTGCTGAGCTGTGTGTGAGGCATTCCACATAGGCAACTCTGCACAAGACTTTCTGAGAAACTACGTAGGAACATGTGAGCCCTCATGATTCTCAAATGCTGGCCTGTGGCTAGGTGGCCAAACCAAGTGTGACTTTGCAAACATATGGTGGGCAAACATAACTTAACTTTCTCATGGGTCAACACTGTGAATATGTAATATTTAGCATCTCACATAGTAAGAGCACATATTTGTAAATATGTCTAAAAAAATACGTCTTCCTCCCCCAAGGCCAGGCGCCTCACAGCCAGGCTCCCTCCCATGGCTCCTGTCCTGCCTCCGCTCTGTCAGTGGGAATTTGTTTAATTTTAGGAATGACATAGAATCCCAAACAAGCCTTCCCACTGAAGTGTACACTGCTCTGGCATCTGCAGAGAGAGAAGAAAGCTACCCACCTACCTGTAAGTCAGCCCTCCACGTGTAATTGACATCCAGCCCCTGGAGAACAGACCACATCACCAGCCCAAAGTCCTCCATTGTCCCAGCCTCCAACATCTGGGTGAACAGGGCTCCCAAGAGAGGCTCAACATCTTGAGTGACCTGAGCAGAAGTATCCAGATCTGTGGGCGAAGAAACCAAAATTGTTAAGATGTGGCAGGCAAGAGACACAACAGTGAGCTGTATGAGACAGTGTGCACTCATGCAGCCTCTAAAAACTCTTGTCTCGATCAAGTTAGGGACAAAAGCAGGGGCGTAGATACTTATGGCGGGTTCACACATTGCTGCACCTGTGCACATACACACAGACGACTTGGGATGCTTTCGAACCCATACCACTGGACCACAGCAGGGCAGTAACTATTACTTTACCTTTCTTTCTATTTCCATTATAAAATGAGTCTGGGAACGGGAATGGGCTGTCAAGTGGGAAGGTGGAAAGATCAAAAGATCCCTGAACTTTCTGAGACTGTCCGCTGAGCCATCCGTGAATTTCCTGGCATGTTCAAGGCCCTTTGGCCCGCAGTCTCACACTAAAGCCTGAAGCAGAGCATTCAAGGCCCACTATTACTGACCCCAGCATGTCCTTCAAGCCAGCAGTTAGAATACCCATGCTGTCAAAATGCCTTCCTCTTCCTGGTTCGTGCTCAGTGGTACAGCATAGGGTAAGGGACCAGGAGCTCTGGGTAACGAAGATGTAGGTATCAGGCTCCTACAAAGCTCTAAGATCCTTGACCCATGGCCTCTTTCAGCCCCAACCCCTGTGCTGGCAAGTGAGAAAAGGATGCAGTGCCTGTAGCAGGAGCCTCTTCCTGGAAGGTTCCCCACCCTCACCTGCCTGGCCATGCTTTGCAGTCACTCACGCTTGGCTTGCATGCATTCCCCTCCACCCAGTCCTACATTCTGGTTGGGTTTATAGCACATCAAGTCTCCCCTGTGATCTCTGTAGATGTCTACTACTTAGTTAGGCCAAAGCTTTCTTCCAGAGCAGAAGGTCCTGCACAGAGGGCCTGTTCTAAAGCACTGGCTTCAGTGACTTGGCTGAGGCAGAGTATTCTAGTGTCTAAGTGTTCTTCCTAAAGCTTCCATTCACTAGCCAACCTCAGGACAGGGACTACAGCACCACACGGCCACCCTTGGGTTGTTCAAGGCCACCTGCATGCTCCCTCTCCCTCACCAGCACTTTGGGCTCCTCTACTTGGCATTTCTCCCAACCATTCACCACTCACTCCTCATGTCCCTGGACAGGACATAATGGCTCAGGTGTACAAGGGCTGGCTGAGGGGACAGGGACTGAGGTTCTGCCCCTGGGGTCAGAGGTACCAAAAGTCCAGGGCTGTTAAGAATGAGGGCTGGACTGGATGTGTGGCTCAAGTGATAGGGTACCTGCAAGTCCTGAGTTAAAACCCCAGTCCCACCAAAAAGAAAAAAAGAGTGAAGACTTAGACTGCCCCCCTACCCCCACGCTCACCAGGGCTGGGGGAAGGGAACACAGTGCCTTGCTTAAAAAGGAGCAGTGACCAGAGCAGAGCTTCAAACACCAGCTGCAGTCTCAGGACGCCCACTTAGTACACTGCCACTAGCCTTAACAAAGACTTAGTTTTAGCCCCAGTAAGAAGGGGAGAGTCGCTGGCAGAGTTCAAACAGAACAATGTCACATCAGTCTTTCCAGTTAATCCACACTTAAGCCAAAGACAGGAAAGTCATTGACAGGCAGACAATTGCAGTGCTGTCTGGACCACACACCCAAGTCTGGCGCTGGCCCAGGCAGACCAGGTGGCCTCACTTCCCAAAGGCCCCACTAGCCCTATGTATCCACGGCTCCATCCCTTGAGGCTTCTCCAAGGGAAACAGCTCTGCACATGCTGAGAGTCAGACTTGGCTAACTGCCTCCCCCAGCCTCACCTCAAAAGATCATCCTAACTCTTACCCAACCCCTCAGCAGCCACCAAAGCTGAAAAGAAAGCTCTCTTGGAACAGGGAAGGCATTGGACTTAACCTTTGTCTGTTTTGGGGGACAGTAAAAGTGTTTAATTTTTACATACTAATAAGGGCAACAAATCTCTATAACCTTTCACTATTTTAACTAAATATAGTCATTTTTAGAGTAAATAGGCTCTAAGCAGACATTCGAAAATATCAATCCAATAATTTTTATGCTATACTTAATTAAATCACAGAAAACAGTATTGATTTGTTACAATTAAAATACAGGATTAAAGTGGAGTAAGAACGAAGCAACAATTACAATGATTATTTTACTCAATGATTATTTTAATTTCTGCATGTGTTCCTACCCCTTGTACATATACATGTGTGTTTTATGTAGTTGTAATCATAGCATAATTAACATTTTATATTATTGATTTTTTTATTTAACGCTAATTTTTTTAGATATTTCTCAATAGTTTTCATAATTATCATTCAAGGGCTGCACAGGAGCCCATACCTTTTGACCTGGGGAATACAGAGGTCAACTGTGCACAAACACTCCAGCTCTCTCACTAGGCCATCTGAGGTTCTGGCTGGCTGGCCTGGAAGGTTGACACCCAACCAACAATCTGTCAATCTATGGTACAAAAGGCCTGACATAAAGAAGCCTCCTAAAGATGACATTATCTATGTGAATCACCCATGGCCAGAGAAAGCTGGAGTCCAAAAACAGGAGGTTTTGAAACTTTAAACACATACAGGACAATCTCTAAAACAAGTGAGGGGCGTACCTAGAAGGCTGCAGTATGTGAAGGGTGGGGAAAGCCATAAAGGTGACTGCTTACATGTACCAAGAACGCAGAGAGATGAAATGAAGTTCTGGGTGTCAGGATGGGGGGGTTTGGAGGAGCTGTTCCCATGTGGCGTCTTCTGAATGGAGGCCCAGCCACTCATCAAGCAGCCGCTGAGCTCCTGTTGACCTGAGCCCCTGTTGCACAGAATTAGTTCAGAAGGAAGCATCTTACCTGCAAGAACTTTTTTCACAGCATGAAACATGGAGGCAAAAATGGAGCCCTCCTTGGGATGAAGTTCTGGGGCCAAAAAGAACAGAGTTAGAAACCGCAAGGCTGCCTGGAAGGATGGAATGTTCCCCACGAGGGCTGGCAGCTCTGACAGCAGCTGAGTGTAAACGTCCCGGTAGAGGGCAGCATGGGAGGGCAGTGCTCTGTCTGCCACCTGGGCAATCTCGGGCGCTCTGTCTCTGTGGTGCTGGCTCAGGTCCACTTCCAAGAGTGTGGCAATGGCTGAGAGGAAAGCTGAGGGGAGATGGTGGCCCCTGGCGCCAACGGCTGAGCAGAGAGCACCTGTTTGTAGCACAGCCTGCTGCAGCAGCTCGGGAAGTACGAAGGGGGTCTCCTGGGGCTGTCTCTGCTCTTTTACGAAAGATCCTAGGACTTGGCACAACTTGGTTAGAGATACCAGAAGAAGCTGGCTGCCCAGAAGGCTCTGGATTTTCAACTGTTTGCTGGAAGCTGACTCAGTGTACAATTTGCACCTTGAGAGGAATGTGAGGATTTTCCCAAAATTAAGCACCACGCTCAGCTTCAGCTGGATGACCATCTGCATTAGCTGCTCCAAGAATGTCCCCACCACTTGGAGGAGCTGCAGCCAAGAGGGGTTATCACCCTCAACAAAGAACACATGACTGGCTTGCAACAATGAAGTCAGCACGATCTCAAAAATATCACTGACATACATGACCTTGAACACAGACCGGGCACTCTTTCCTCTCTGCAGGGCACCAAGAAGCTGATAGCAAGTCACCAAGAACTGCAGGGCCAAAGAGGACAATTGAGAACATCTCAGTGTGGCGACACCCATGGACAGTAACAGAAGAAAATAACGCACATGATAGGGAGGTGAGAGGCTGTCCAGGTGTAGGGTGGAGACAACTTCCAAGAGCTCTGAGAGGTCTGCTATTTGCTCTTCCTCCAGATGGATAGGGAAGTCCCTCTTGACCAGGGATAGTAAGTTCTGGGCAACTTCTCTTCGTTCTACACCATCAGGTCCGGCTTTTGCAAACCTGTTTTCCCAATGAGCCACAACCTTGTGGTGGTCCTTTTCAAAAAGCCAGGGCAGCTGCTGTCTAAGAAGACCCAGGTCATCATGGGCACCAGAGCAGAGAATGCTGGAACATCTGACAATAATGCACATCAGGAAGGCAGAATGGAGAGACTGAATCTCTGGAAAGACAGGGCTGTGAAGGAGGGCTGTGGATACTTTCCCAAGGGTGATAAACGGGTCTTCATCTGCTGAGCCTTCCTGGGCTTTGCTCATTGGTAAAGTTCTTAAAAGAACACTGGCCAGGTATCTCACGTCATCTGGACAAAGGTAGGGAATTAAAACTGTGAGGTTTGACACAATCAAGTGCCAGTGTGCTACGGGGTATGTGGGCTCACTCACGGTCCCTATCTGCCCATCCCAGGAAGCCACTGTCCCTTGAGTCAAGCTGTCTCTGCCAGAACCAAGAATGTAGGAAGCATCATGCTGCAGAGTTTGGAGGGCTTCTTCAGAACTGGAACCAGTCTGCATTAAAGTCCGTTTCATTTTCTGCAGGTAGAGCTGTTCTAAGCAATACCTACCAAGAGAGCTGGACTGTGCTGTAATCTTCTCTACCTTCCTCCAGAGCTGTGCTTCCACACCTGGGATCAACAAGGGGAGATTCGAGATGTCCACAGCATCCCCAGTCAGGGGACCAGCCACAGAGTGATACTGGCTACAGTTCAAACTGAGGGTGGTATCCACCTGAGCCCAGGTGTAAGACAGCAGGCACGTGGCGTCACTCACCTTCTGTTGCCACAGCTCAGGCTCTGCATCTGGGGGATCCAGGAGAAGGGCCAGCAGTGGCTTCAGGAGCTCTCCCAGCATCCTCTCCATTGTGCACTGTGTCCGTCTGATGACTGGCAGGGGCATGCTGCTGTCCAGGCTCTGCATGTTGAACATGACGCAGTGCAGCAATGAGCTCAGAGACAGGGCCTTCAGGGCCATGTCGGCATCACTCTGCAAATAGGGGAGGACCAAATCCTGGAACCTCTCCAGCACAAGGGACCATGTGTCCAGGATCTGACTTGGTGGCAGCTCTAGGAGGCATGCACAGAGTGCTGTGGAAGGGCCTGAGGACAGCACAGGTTGCCTCAGTGCCTCAGCAGCTGGACGGCAGATCACCCCCAAAACCTCCTCAAACAACCGTGGCACCTGACGAAGCTTGGCATATGTCTGGAAAAGGGTGTGAATAAGAACCTCCTGGGCTTTTTTGGTTCGGAGCTCTGTTACTTCAGCATCAATCCAAGCTGAAGACAACAGTTCATCCAGGTCTGGCTCTAAAATCAAATGATTCAGAGACATCAAAATCCTGAGGCAGCGGAACCAGGCTGGCACAGGTGCTTGTGAATGGTTTATGAGCAGCTCAGCCACACGGCGGTAGAAGTGGAACTGCACCTCCCCATGCCGGATCCTGTCGGCGGCTACATTGTAGATGTTGTTGGTGGCCACTGAGTTTAGCAGCTGCTCCACAGCCAGAAGCTCTGTAGTCCAGTCTGATGTAGACAGGGCTTCCGTCTGTCCCTCCTGCAGGCGTGAGAGTCGCAAGCAGCCAAACAGCCTGGGGAGAGCCTGGAAGCAGAGAAACTGGTTTCCCTCCTTAAGGTAAGAATCCAAAAAGAGCCTGTACAGCAAGGCCACAGAGCTGGCCACAACAGAAGCATGAAGATCTGGTTCACAGTAGCCAGCATCCACCAGCCTAGCAATCACAGTGTCTACTGGAGCAAGAAGACCCTTCAGGGTTCCCATTTTCATGTCGTCTTGCTGCTGATCCAAGAGCTCCTCTTTGTAGGATGAGAGCAGATCCGGCTGAAAAACTCCACCTTGAAGAAGGGTCTCAATCTGACTTCTGACATCCCGGCTCAGCAGCTGCCGCAGTTGGCCTGGGCCAGCCTGTGTCCACGTACCTCCAGAAAGCAAATGCCGCAGGATCAGGCAGGGCTGGAGCAGGTGCCCAGTCACATCCCCAAAGACACGTCTAGGGTTGGCCTGCTGCTGCTGGAGCAAGAGGTAATGGCCAAGAGCCAGGTGAATGACCTCGAATAGCTGGGCTGTCACGGCTCCTTCTGGCTGCCTGCAGGCTGACCAGCAGAGCTGGCTCAGCAAGGACACCATCAACTCCTGTTTGGCTGTGTAGATGACAGCAAGGGCAGGCGTTGAGAAGATGCCCTGACAGCAACGCAGGACAGCACAGATGTTTCTTTGGCATCCCGAAAGAGAGAACTCAGCTATTCTCTCGTTTATGATCTGAGTATTAAGAAATAAGACTCATGACTTCTCTGAACCCACACATACACAATCAACCAATTGTTGCTCCTCTTCCACATCTTGATGTGAAAAGCCCAGATCATTCAATCTATGTAAACCTGACATCTGCTTAGTAGTACATCAAAAGAAAGCAAAGTGCCTGTTTTAATTCCTTCACATACCCATCTCCTACCAATATCAATTCCAAATAGGATTCCTGGCTTTATAATTTTGCTATGCGTTTTAAAAAACTCAGGTTTTGTAAGGCTTAAATGCTGGTGGTTACTTCTTCTGAGACCCTAAATCTGTAACTCAGCACAAATGTTACTAAGTAGATAGACAGTGGCGCCTGAGTCATCACCCTGTGGCCCAACATACATTTTTACAGATCAACTGCACTTTTCCTATCAAAAAACCAAAGCAAAGGGCATGTTATAAACAGAAAAGCAAATACTACTACTCATTTGTTACATAGCAGACCCACTGTCCACTGCTCTCAAAGATTCCAAAATCTAGACACTGACTATGAAAGCTAGGCAGATTCCTAAACTCACTGATGGGCTAAAGGACTTGCTCCTGGCCTTATGCATCTGAGGATGAACTCTGTCCTGGATGAGCTTCAGGACCACTCTGGAAAAGCTGCACCAAACACACCAGGTCCCAGATGTCAACACACAGCCAGGGGGCTCCAGGTGTTTGATTACACAGCTCACTGATGAAAGTCTTTTCCACATTTATGCCCCAAAATGTGATTTGTTTACAAGTTATATATACATACTACAGTACTAATATTTTATACAGCTAGAAAATATATGTAGCTGGCAATGGAGGCTAATGCCTATAATCCTAGCTACTCAGCAGGCAGAGATCAGGAGGATCATAATTTGAAGCCAGTCTGGGCAAACAGGTTTTGAGACCCTTTCTCAAAAATACTCAACACAAAACAAGCCTGGTGGAGTGGCTCAAATGGTAAAGCACCAGTCTAGCAAGCATGAGGCCTGAATTCACATCCCAGTACCACCAAAAAAAAACAGCTCAAGTTGTTAAACATAGAGATATTCTAAATCTTCCTGCCATGCTCTGAAGGACCATTCAGAATAATCTTGGTATCTAAAATGACACAGTGGAGAATGTAGTCTCAAGAACCATCCACAGCTTGCCTGCCTTCTTCGTCTCTGCTGATTTTCCTGCCTGTGCACCCATGAAGTCCAACAGCAAGGCTATCAGGCACAACTGGGCTCAGATCCTAACTCTGACACCTACTAACCATGTGACAATTGGCAAGTTACTTTACCTCTTTGAGCCTATCACACACTAAGTGTCTCTGTTAGTTTTTATTGTAACTAGCTATTCTCATGGGATTTCAAAATACTGTTTTGAAAATGAAGTTCACACTTTTTTTTTTTTTTTTGCAGTACTGGAGTTTTGAACTCAGGGCCTCATGCTTGCTCAGCAGGCGCTCTACCACTTCAGGCACTCCACCAAACCTTTTTTGGTTGGGTATTTTTCGAGATAGGGTCTTGTGAACTATTTGCCCAGGCTGGTTTCAAACCACAATCCTCCTGAGTAGCTAGGATTACAGGTGTGAGCCACTGGCACCTGGCTTAAAGTTCACTCTTCTGATCTGAGACTTCAAGATTTTTGACTTTCAGTCAATAATTCCTGTCCAGGTTTTGCCCTTTGATCTCCCTCCAGACCAAAAGAAAGGTTAAAAAAAAAAAAACAGAACATGAATGTATATGAGAGACTGTCATGGGGCAGGGGAGATGAGTGGGAGGAGGAAGGAAAGGATGCTGAGGGGTGAAGAGGATGGAAGTACACTATATATACATATATATATACACATACACGTAGACACACAAATGTGTTCATGTTTCTCTCTCTCTACACACACACACACACACACACACACACACACACACACACACAGCATAATGAAACCTACCAAACACTGTTTGAAAGAGGGGAGAAACACACAAAAAAAAAAAAGAAAAGAAAAGAGGGGGAGAAAGGGAAAGGCGGAATGGGAATATAATGGAGGGGTGAACTTGTTCAAGGTACACTGTACACATGTACAGAATTATCACAATGAAATCCCCTCCTATTATTGTGTGATAAATAAACAATCAGAGTAGCACAATTGCTGGCTACTCTTTCCAATTAAAAAGTAATCAATACCTGTTTGTAAAATAGTTGTAAGCTTTCTTTAATATCAAACAACACAAAGTGCTTAGCAGTGTTCATAAACATTCAATAATTACCAATTATTACAATTCTGATATTTCTACTTTTGTCTCCTCTCCTACCTTGAAACTTCCTCCATCTTCATACAAATGACACTCTGAATCAAACGCAAGCACTGCAGAAAATTAACAGAGGTGCACATATACCTAAGTGATGAGACCACTAATTACCTTGATGAGGGAAATTTGAAGATTAACTGTCTTTCCATTCTTCAGGAGATTTTGTAATTTTCTGCTATGAAGAATGTCATCAATATACACCCAAAGCCTTTCGACAATATCTTCCTTCAGCTCAAGTTTTTTCTTATAAAATGCAACCAATGACTGTCTTGCCCAATCAAGTAAAACCTGAATTAGGAAAAAAAGAAAATAGCCTGAAAACAGGTGAAATTCTTTTATGGGAAATAAAGATGCTGGGCGTTATGGGGACATCCAGCCATGATCAAATCCAACTACAAGGGAAAAAATTTGTCTTTAAAACTCACTTGTGATAATCTTATATTACATAAATGTTTTGATATCTTAAAATATTTATTAATAATGAATAAAGGGGGTAAAACAACCTACTTTGTCTTCATATGAAGCTAATAAAAAGTTTCAGGTGAAACTCTGGTATGTCTTATTCCCTTTTCTGGGCTGGTGATGTGGGTCAAGGGGAAGAGCACCTGCCTAGCAAGCAAGAGACCCTGGGTTCAAACCACAGTACTGCCAAAAACCAAACAAATAAGCAAAATCCTCTTATTCCCTTTTTTAAGAGTTAGAAACACAACAAATGCCCAGAATGACCACAGAATATATCACATACACAAAGCAAAAAAGCAGTGTAAGACAAAGCACAAGGATTTGTGTGGTGGCCTCCCAGCTACAAGCAGTTTACCCTTAAACTTACCTCATTCTGGAGACAGTCAAGGTCAAGTGACGTACAAGTACTTTGTGAGAAAAAGGATTGTGTCGTGCTTCCTCTGGCACAGAGGAAAGATGGGGAGGCCTCAGCTTTCATGGCTCTGTGTGTGTGTGTGGGGGGGTGTGTGTGTGTGTATGGGTGTGTTGCTAGGATGGAACCCAGGGTCTCAAGCATACTAGGCATGTGCTCTGCCACTGAACTGAACTGCAACTCCCAACCCAAAGCTTCAGCTCCCAATACTAGAACTGTCAGTATCAGTAGTAAGTGACCAATGCTAACAGAAAAACTCTCAGGATAAGGACAGTGGACACTGATCAAATTGGCCTACCAGGGCCACCTGTTCTCACCTTGTGTAGCACTTCCAGGGAACAATGTACAGAAGTTGTGGACACTACTAGATACCATGGTTGCTCTGCATTCACACTCCACCATCACTTCAACAATTATAATCCATCTCAACACATCCTGTGCTGCCTTCCTAATACTGGGAAGGTATCCTAATACCAGGAATTAGGGTTGACCTAATATGTCACCCCAGTGCTCACTGCATTCACTACTTTTTACCCAAATGAGCTTGAAAAATATTAACCAAGAGCAACATCCTTCTTGGAGCAAACCTATTTCCACCATGACTTAAAATAACTACAACACTTCTCTACTTCCCAACTTTCAATCTACCAAACTGAAAGATCTCCAGACTTTTTCCATTGACATTCTTAACTTCCAATGAAGTTCCCCCACCCAACTATTTTTTTTTCTAATCTTTTAACTTAATGTCAATATGTGATTTGTACAAGTGATTATTTTATTTTTTTGAAGTACTGAGGCTTGAGCTCAGGGCCTTCACCTTGAGCCACTCTGCCATCCCTTTTATGTGAGGGGTGTTTTCGAGATAGGGTATCTCCAACTATTTACCCAGGCTGGCTTTGAACCGAGATCCTCCTGATCTCTGTCTCCTGAGTAGTTAGGATACAGGTGTGAGCCACAAGTGCCAGACAGAAGTGATTATTTTAAATCATAAAAATGAAAGATTTGCATTAAACTTACTTGTTCTTTATTTGGAAGAAAACACTGGTGGGAAATCCATGCAAAGTGAGCTAATTTTAGTTTATCTTCCCAGGAAGTTGTCTTGCTTTTGAGCTTAAAGGAAATGCCAGAATAAACAGCAGCCATTCCTACACGTTATCTACAAGTAAAAACAATGGGAAACAGCATTACAGTAAGGCCAACCTGAATAGGAACCAGAAAATGAACAGCATGTACCTTATTGTATACGATTAAACTTTTAATGAAGTAAGATGTATTAACAAAACTGCTTAGCCCATGAATTTTCTTGGAGAAAATTAGAGAAAAGAAGGCAGAAGTTGGTTTATAAGTACTACCGCTGTGAACAGACATCACATCTACAGAGGAGTCTGCAGGGATTCAACAACGCAAATTCAAACTGTACAGACTGCTCATGAAACGGCAATCATCAGACATGATTTTAGACAGAAAGTGAATTTCTGTACACAGCTTCTAAAACACACGATGTGTCGTGTGTTAGGACTAGCTTCATTCAGTAAAGAAATAAGTAAGCAATACAGTACTTGCAGAAAAAGAAATAAGGCAATAACTCAACCCCAATCGGAATACTGTTATTTCTGCTGCAACAATGACTCTCCACTGTAACTTTATCTTATTCACTCATATACAGGTTTATCCCCCCCACACACATTGGCTGCTGAGAAGACTACAAAAAACACACAACTAAAAGAATGAAAAAGTAGTATACGATGAAAACCTCAATAATGAAGGAAGCAAACACCAAAAACCTACAATTACTATAAAACTGAAGCAAAGCTTTGGGTTTCTTAAAATTCGTAATAAAAAGGTTAAGTTGTTTTTCACTACAGAAAAGTAGCAAGTCAGTTCCTCAAGAAAGAAAACTGTTCAAAACAGAAGTAAGGTTATTAAAAATAAAAACAAAGTAGAACTCAAGAACCGAAAAAGCAAGACCTGAAAAATGGTCGCAGTCCCGTGACTGTCATGGGTTCAGTTAAACAAACCAAAAGCATACGCTATCCTGAGGGTGGATCACCTTTTTCGTGGATCACCTTTTTCATGGGTCCTGAACACCCGCTTTGGGAACTTACTCCCAGACTGGAGAATGCGCGCGCCCTGGGACACACACCCGTCGGTGTCCCCGAGCTGGCGCCAGGCCCCTCGTCGCCCGCGCAGTGACCACTCAGTTAAAGCGCAGACTCAGCGGGACGCGCAGGGCCGGCCCGGCCGCCCGGAGCAGAACCCCGTGCGCCGCGTCCGCCGCCGGGCACCCTCCTACCACCCTCGCCGCGCGGAGGAGCCCAGGGTGGACAGCGCGGCCCCGCCTGCCGCCCCTGGACGTCCGCCGTGCAGAGGGGCGAGAGGTCCGCGCCGCGAGCCGGGTGAGGCGCCAAGGGAGCCACGCAGGGTGTTCCTGGAGACTGAGGCTCCCTCAGGTAGGGCTCGGTCCCGGTGGGGCACAGCCCGAGAGTGATGGGGTCTGGGCTTCCTCTCCTGGGGTCCTGTTCGGGCCAGGTCGCCTCCTGGCCGAGCCCGAGCACCCCACGAGGCTCTCACCTGTCCGCTCCGCGGCCCGCGCCGCACGTGAAAGCGGGCGCTTCCGGCAGACGCTGACGTCGACGTCGACGTCGACGTCGCGTCGCGGGGTGGGCGGGGCGGGGCGGCGCGGCGCGCAGGCAGTGCCAGCCGAGCGCCGAGTGCGCCTTGGCCGCGGCGTCGCGCGTCGGCGGCCCAGCCCGGCGCGCCCGCTCCGTCAGGCGGCCATGGGGCGGCCGCCCAGAGTCGCGGGGCGTGAGGCCCGGGGGCCTGGCTAGCCGGCTGCGGAGCGAGGCCCAGAGGCGGGCGACGGAGGCGGGAGCAGCCGGTGCCGGGGCGGCGGCGGGGCAGCGGGAGCCGCCTGGGATGTTCAGTGAGCGCGGGTGGGGCGGGGCGCCGGGGCGGGGGGAGGGGAAGCGGAGGGAGGGAGGGAGGGAGGGGAGGGGAGGGGAGGGGAGGGTCCTCGGCGGCGGGCGGCCCCGAGCGCCGCGCCTCCCGCTCGCTCGCGCGGGCACCTGCGCAGGGCCTGGCCTCCTCCCTGCGGGCCCCAGCGACCCCGCACGTGGCAGCGCCGGCTGGATGGTGCCGGAGGCCGGGCCGGGGGCCAGTGGACGGAGCCGCCGCGAGCCGGGCGCCGGCCTGGAAGGGCGCAGGGCGTCAGGGCTGGGCGCGCTCTCGGCCGCTCTCGGCCCAGCGGAAGTGGGCTGCGGGCGCCCCGCGCGGTCCCGCAGGCAGTGAGTCGCGGCCCCGCGGACCTCGCAGACGCTGTGGCTCCGGCGTCCAGAGGTGAGTCCGCCAAGCCCGGCGGCGCGCAGGTGGGAGAGCGGCTGGCTGCGAGGACCGGCCAGGGCGCAGTGCGTCTCGGCTTAGGGGACGCACGTGCGCGGTCTAGCTGAACTGGGGTTGGGGGCTCGGAGCCCGGTCCGGCCCTGCTCTTTAAAGTGGACTAGGAGGGAAGTCTGTCTGTAGGTTTACAGGCTTCGGGCCACTTCTTTAAACTCAGGCGAGCTGAATGTCATAGAGCAAGCTTAGTGACTACCAGGACTAGGATTGCAACCTTGTAGCTAGCTAGCTGTCTGTGTAACCTTTCTGAGTGTCGGTTTCCGCTCCTGTGAAATGGGATGCTAGTTTAAGGAACCCAGAAAAAAGAATTACGCATATGAAAATGTATGACATAAGTAAAGCAGTTTGTCAGTCGTAGCCGTTATAACTTCTTTGGGGAGGAAAATCCTTTTAGGTTCCTGGTAGGCCTAAATTTTTTTTCGTGTTAATTGTAGTGGGTGCTAACTTTAAATTTTTTTATGAGTTATAAATCCTTCTTCCCAGCTGGGCGCTGGTGGCTCACGCCTGTAATCCTAGCTACTCAGGAGGCAGAGATCAGGAGGATCACGGTTCAAAGCCAGCCTGGGCAAATAGTTCGCAAGACCCTATCTCGAAAAACCCCTCACAAACATAGAGCTGGTGGAGTGGCTCAAGGTGAAGGACTTGAGTTCAAGCCCCAGTACCGAAAAAAAAAAAAAAAATCCTTACCGTGAAAATGAGTATTAAACCAGAAAACCAAAAGGTGGGCTTGCCTTAAGTATTTTTGTTTCTTGTCAGCAATAACTTAAGTTAGCATATCTTGGAGCAGTATCATTTCCCCTCCACCGTGAGGTCTGTGTGTGCTTCTACCCATGTGAAATGAGGTAAAGGCCTCAACTGACTTACTTAGTGGCTAGTTTTTTGATTCTCGTTTCTGCAGTCAGTGTGTTAGCACCTGTGAAAAAACATTTTGTCTTTTTTCTGACTTGTTTTAGCTAGAACAGGGCCTTGGGGATTGTGTGTTAGGCCAGCATTATTCATTGGAGAGTGCTAAATCTCACCTTCCCAGCTTCTCCCTTGTGTAGCCATCAGCATCCTGCATGGTGGCTGTCCTTTTCATTCTCAACAGGCACCTGGCGAGTATTCATCATTTTGCTCCCGCAGGAAGCCCATGGTCCAGTGTAAGATCTGTACAAGCTTAGCCCCTGTACCTTGATGGCCGAATTCCCATCCAGGAATTGCGTAATTTTGGGCAAGTTGTCTGAAGTCTTTGGGCTTCAGCTTTCCCATCCGAAGAATGTTACCCTAACTTGTAGAGTTATTGTAATTAGACACAGCTAAGATAGTGTCTTACCAGTGGTATGTGCTTAATAAGCCTAAGGTGTTAGTGGTAGTGTCGGATACGGATTGCGACAATACTTGTGGATGGAATGGCAGAAATCAGGGAAGCTGTAGGAGGAAGAGATGACTGGACTAAGCTTGAAACATCAGGATTTACCCAAATCAGGTTGGAGTGCCAGCCTGAGGATGCATCTACCTAGTGGAGAGGGCATGGCCAAAGCCCCTGGGGTGGGGAGGCTGATGGGACCTCCTCCTCCCAAAGTGAGAACTGAGGATTGGTCCAGTATGTACACAAAGACAGATCCGAGCATCAGGATGTGCTTGGTGGTCCAACAGGGGTTGGATTATTTTTATCCTCCACACTAGTGGAGGTGGTAGGTTTTCAAGCTGAGCATAGGTGCATCAGGTAAGGTTTTTGGAAAGATTTGCCTGTGATAAGTGGTGTTGGGTTGAAGTGGGGAATGTCATCCAGTTGTCCTGGCAGCTTCTTGTTTGTCTGACTCCAAAAGGCAAATAACAGCTTCCCAGGGCTGGGCATGTTCAGAAAGCATGCAGAAACCCCTACATCCTTCTAGGCAAATCACATTCTGGTGCATGTCATGTGTGCTTTTTACATGGCAAGATTCCCCTAGGAGACTCCTCCTGACAAGAGGACGTTGCCCATGTTGAGGGCTGTGGAAGTTCAGTCCCTGCTCCCAACAACATGGTGCTGCTTTCTGGGAATAACATAACAGGTGGCAGCAAGCTCAGCCTATATTGGTTTGGGACATTTATTCAATCTTAACAAATCAGTTACAGAGAACAAAAATCCAAGAAAGATTCAGTGATGATTACTGGAGTCTTTTCTAAACAGAGTGACAGTGTAGCTGACATAGGAAACAGCTTATATAGATTACACACACACAAATCAGTCCAGTAAGCAATGAATGAAACAGTTCTGCCTGCCTGCATGGGTATTGATGGCTTGAACAGACTTCCAAGAAGAGCATTGTGTGTGAACTGGAGAGTTGGGATGTGCTCTGTGGTAGGTGTGAAAGTGAGATGCTCTGGAAAATAGTATTTGGTGATTCATAGTGGCTTCCTTGATCACAGACACTGGTGTTTCATATGCATGTGAATAGTTGGAGCAAAATTGTTCCATGAATTAGTATGTCATCATATATACTTCATATACATGTGTCATAAGCTACAGAATAAAATTATACTTTATTTTTCATACACAACCCTTAAAGTGTTTTTTTAAATACTTAAGTTGACTAAAAAGTTTTCTTCATTTTCTCATTGCAAAAGTAAGCTTTTGGGCTGGGATGTAGCTCGGTGGTACAGCGCTTGCCTAGCATGCGTGAGGCTCTGGGTTCGATCCCAGCACCAAAAAAGAAAAGACAAAAAAAAAAAAAAAAAACCTCTCCCCAAAAGTAAGCTTTTTTTGGTTTGAGCCTACCTTTTAGTTGGATGTTTTGCAGAAATTACCTGCTGTTGCTTTCTCTGTTGAAGCAGATTCTGTGTTTCGTGGGTGTTGTGTACTGGCATGGTTTAGAAAATACTGTAATGAACTATCCTTCAGTCAAATACAGGAGCTATCCTTCCAGTTGAAGTGTGTCTCTGTCTTGTAGTGTTTAGCATTGATAAAGATACCTCTGCTTTTACAAACAAAAACACTAACTTTGAATGGCTTGTTATGCAAACCTCTGAGTTAACATTTTTAAGCTAAGGTTGCTGGTGCATTCCATTCACAGTTGATACAGTAACCATTGGCCTCATGGCTACTTAAATTAAAATTAATTAAAATTGACAGCTCAGTTTCTCTTCTGCAGTGCACTATCTGGAACCCATGTGGGGCTGGGGCTGCTGTACAGAACAGGGCAGACTCGAGACATGCTTGCTCAAGGAAGGACAATACTGCTCTAGAAAGAAAAACTGAAGACCATCCCACTCCAAGAAATACACATAGAGATATTCTAATGTCATTAGTGCATCTGCGAGAACTCAGTTGCTGTATTTGAATTCAATTTCAGAGCAGCGATAAGCTTAGAAAAACATGCTCTCTTTAACTCGGAGAGCAGAATATTCTATTTCTTCCATCTACAGTGGTAAATGGAGAATGTGTGAGTTTTTATGTAGCCAAACAGTAATAGTGTAGGTATTCCTTATGTACACTGTGCCATGCTCTGCCTTGTTAATGAAGTGTGGCATCGATCAGTTTTTCTGTGATATAAAAACAGTACTAAAGTAGAAACCAGATATTTGTGACTGTTTTGGGTTATAGAAATCCCAAAATAACACAAGCCCACACTATTACGAATTCCTAGCAGAAGCTAGACAGCACTCCCTTATTGTTGGTGTGAGGTACAGAGGTGAGAAAAGCCCTGTCCTCAGGGAACTCCATCTGTTTGGGAGATTTGAGGAACATTGATGGTGAGAGTGGACAGTCTGTTTGGGGGGAAGAGACGTTGGGGACTTAGTCAGCTTTGTCATTTACTCTGGCTGAATCCCAAGGTGGTGAATGTTGGAACAGTCCAGCTGAGAAATGATTTGTGCTGTCAGACAGCAGGAGGAGGGTGGGGAAGCAGGGATGATTCCGTGGCACGAGCCACTTTTTTTTTTTTTTTTTTAAGTTAAAGAACTCATGTTTACAAGAGGAGTTGTTGGCCCTTTAGAAAGTACAGGAGAGAGAGAAGAATCCTTAAGATAATGACTGGAGCAGTACCAGTGCAATCCTAGCTACATAAAGGCAGAGGTCAGGAAGATCGCAGTTCAAAACCAGCCCCAGGCAAATAGTTTATAAGACCCTATCTCAAAAATACCCAACACAAAACAGGTCTGGTGGAGTGGCTGAAGTGGTAGAGCACCTACCTAACAAGCACAAGGCCCTGAGTTCAAACCCCAGTACCGCCAAAAAGAGAAAGAAAGATAGTGCCTGGGTTTTTTGTTTTAGTGATGGTAATGGCACCGTTAAGCTGGCTAGGAAAACCAGGAGAATGCAGAAGTTCTGAAGGGAAGAATTATTCTGCTGTGAGCACCTTGAGTTTCGGGTGTTAGCATTGTGCAGGTGGAAACAGCTTGTCAGCATACAGAGCTTGGGAGGTGGACTGACTGAAGACCATGCGAGTCTGTATGAGAGGTGTGATGATGTGAGAACGTGAGGAATGAGAAGCAGAGAGGAGGGGGAGCCGGGAGCCAGGCTCGCAAAGGGGAGGAACAGTAATCAGTAGTGGCTCATCTAGCCATGAGACCATGAGGGATAGTGGTAAGAAGTGACAGTTGGCTTGGACAGAGTTGATTCACCAGTCTTGGTCAGTAGTCCACTGATGCTGGGCAGGGCCAGCTGGCTGAGTAGGAGGTTTGTGAAGCTTTGGAGTGGCTGGGGTTGGAATGCTGTGGGGAAAGTAGTTGACCAGAAGAGACTTGGTGAGTGCCTACGAGATCTCAGCTGATGTTAAGAGTCCTGCATTTTCACTTGGGCCTAAGCTGTGGGCCTCATTGAGAGGCCATTTTATTCCTCAGGACATTCTGAGAAAGAACATAGCTTCTAATTCAAATGTGTTACTGTCCGTCTGAGCAAGGATTGTCTGAAAGGCCATCATAATTTTAAAATTATGAGGCATGGCTGAAACAGTAGAATGGCTCATTTATTTTTCAGCTTGATTTATATTTTCACAAACCTAATCAAAGATTTATCATGGTAATGAGAAGTCAGATTTTTTAGGTTCTACTTACAATGGCCTTCTGATAGGCTGCTGCAGGAAGAGAGAATTGATAAGCACTTTACATGATACCTCCTTAAACAAAAGTACAAAGTAACTTAACCTGGTGTAGCATAAATTTACGATTGGAAAAAAATACATTTACTTAAAAAAAAAAAAAGAATAGTAGCCAATGGTCAGAGACTGTTAGGGAGCTTTGAGGATTACGTGTGGAGTTTCTTGAATTTTTCTTCAGCTTACCCCTATTCAAAACTGCTACCCTAGCGGGGAGGGCTCCAGACAAGAGGATTTAGGCTTTTCACCTGTCTCCGTAGTACTTGGCTTGACATAGTGGGTAGGGGCACCTCCCGGAGGTCTTGTATGAACAAGCATCTGCATTTGGTCTGAATAGCTAGTATTGGGATGCTGTGGGACCACTGACCAGGTTTCCAAGCCCACGTCCTGCATAGCATCATCATCACCCTCATCACTAGCATTCCCGTGGTTTTTCCTGCAATTACTTTAGGTTGATCATGCCAGCTACAAGGCAACTTTGTTGAAATGTTAGTGGAACAGTAGCAGCTATTGAAATATGAGCAACATTGTGTCACGATCTTCCTTTTAATCCAGGAATACTGATAACATGATACTGAGAGAAGGGCACAAACTCAGTGCCTCGCCCTTGCTAGGCTGGCACTCTACCACTTGAGCCATGCCCCCAGCCCATTTTGCTTTATTTTTCCAATCTGGGCATTCCAATCTAGGCATTTATGTCCAGGCAGGTCTGGACCACAGTCCTTAGCTTCTGTTGGAGCTGGAATGACAGGTGCACCCCCCCCAACCCCGTGCCCGGCTTTTTTTTATTGATTGAGATAAGAAAAATTTTTGGATCTCTGCCTCCTGAGAAACTAGGATCTCTAGGTGTGAATGTGCCCAGCAGGAGAAGGGCTTTTGATAACTGTTTACCTTTAAAGTGTCTTACGTGAATCGAAAACTATGTAATTTTAACAAAAAATTGCATAATTATATTCAATCCAATTTAAGAAGAGTTTATAATTACACCTTTGTTTTGTGATTTATTTTTTACCTCTCAGTGTTCCATTATATCACTAAAAACTAGGCAGGTAACTCTGTATTGCAGTGTGAGGCTCACATCAGTGTCTCAAGAGCCTTGGGTCTATTTTAAGGAGGTTTTTTCCTGCATGTGTCCCTTTATGGATATTGGCATCATGGAAATTCATTAGGGGGGCTGATTTCTCTGAGGAACTCTTTCCCTTATTTATTTCACTTGAAATGTGTGTATTGGAATAAAATCAGTTAAGTCGATTGGGTCATGTCTTTGGTATTTGAGTTCCTCGTGGCTGTGAAAGAGTTTGCTGCTGAGTTCCTGCCTTGAGATCCTCAGCCCTGTGTCTGGCTCTCTGCCTGTCCTGTGCTTTCCTAGTTGTAATGGTTGTGTTCATACAATCTCAGTTGGTGCAGTTAATTTGGGCACATTCATTAAAATCAGTATTTACAGACTAGCTTCTTTCAATACTAAGTATGGCCAGGTTTTAGTGTTGTTTGTTCTTGTTTCTGGTTACTCTTTCATAACCTTTGTGTCTTTTTCCCTCTGCAGACTCAAGCAGGCATTGTCCCACCTTCAGGGCACCATCACCACAGGGTCTGCTCTCCTGCCAGTCATTTATGTGTCCTTCACAGGGTTTTTTCCTACCAAGGACTTGATTGGAGTGCTCACAGTCACTTGTGGGTACATGTGTGCATTCCCATGTTAACAAGAGGTCACAGTGGAAAACCTGGAAAGGTCTAGTCTCGGGATTGAAAGCAGCATTAGCAGGCAGTGTGTATTTAATTGTTTCTCCATATATACACTGAATCAGAATTTTTGGGTGCAGTTATTTGTACACCCACTCACGGGATTCTTGGGTAGCCAAGCTAGAGGAGCACAGAGAATGACTGAACCAGTCAAGCTGGGCAGAGTCATCCTGAATAGCAGCCACAGAGAAGCAATTATCTGTCTTCATTAATGGGTAGGTGATGCTGAGAACAGGAACCCCACTCTCAAAGCACCAGAGCACTGGCATTAGTGACTTTAAAAAAAAAAAAAAGAGGCTTAACTTAAAATAGGGTAAGATAGGGCATTACTGCACTGAGAGACTAGTACACCGCCCTAAAAAAGGCACATTCCTTAGCGGAAGGGTAGTGCGGTGTGGGAACCCTTGTGTTTCGATACGTCACTGAGTCACAACCTTGTGCCCGGTGCCCCTCCTTTTGCACTCTCTGTCCGGATATGAAATGCACAGAGAGCATAATGTCTGCATTCAGGGTTTGACATGGCTGTAAAGCTTTGTTTACGAATTGTGTACATGTGTCTCCAGTCCTTTTCCCCATCGTATGATTTGGGGAGTTGAAAGATGGTCCTCAGAGTGTCTGCTGCAAAACACTTTGGAAGAAAAGGAATATTTACAGGTAACTGAGAACAAACAGTGTATTAACCACAGGATGGATGAAATTAGGTAGAAAAATAGTTTAAGAAAAAAGGAGTATTTCTGGAGAAGGTAGTATTTTAAACCTTAAAAAAAAGAAGAAGAAGAAGAAGAACTCCCAAAGGAGAAAACCAAAGTGGGTAACTAAAACTGGCCAGAAGCCAGGCTCCACACAGGTCGGGTACTCTTGGTTTAGAGAAAGTCACTTTGGTGAGCTCGGGCACATGCGTGTGTGTGTGTGTTGTGTACATTTCTAGGATCCTGCAAAGTACGTTTTTTTTTTTTTTTTTTTTTTTTAATTTTGAACACATGAACAAAGGCACAGCAGGATAGACGGGAGGGAGAAGGTTGGAGGGAGGCTAGGGTGGTTAGAGAAGGGGTTCATGATAAGGAAACAAGGCACCCAGTCAGGCAAATATCTGGGGAAGGAGGGTTGATGGCAAGAACAGAGGTCCTGGGGCAGGAGTCCACTGTGGTAGTTCAGGAAGAAAGAAACCCAGAAATTGGGAAAGTGTTTTAGTGACAAATGAACCCAGAAGATGCATCCACTGCCTTTGGTCATCCTCATTGCAGGTTCTTTATTTCTGGCAAAGTAGTGTTTGAGGACAGGCCAACACCATACATTCTTGTCATTTTTGGCAATTTAATAGTGACAGAAAATAGATACCTTTTTCTCTTTTTTCTTTTTTTTTTGTGAGCCCTTACATTATTTTAAATTATTCAAAAATAATTTACCCTTCCCCCTTTAGGCTCACCTCCAGCCACTTTCTTCCTTTATAGGAACTTAGGAGACACATTGTAACATACACGTATCCTCCTGCTGTTTGAATGCTTTTCTGTGTCTGTGGTTCATAAAATTATAACAGAGAAGTAATTTGATTATGACAGGATCACACTGCTCTAATCCTGACTGCATTTCCTGAAGAAATATAGGGTGGCATAACTGAGTGATTGAGCATGTGCCCAGCACGCACAGGGCCCTGGTTCTATCCCTGTCACACCCCTTCCCACTGCTAACTTTTCACTTTGGCAACATTTGCTAACCCAGTTGTTTTTTGGTTTTGTTTGTTTGTTTTTTGGTGGTACTGAGATTTGAACTCAGGGCCTTGCCTCCGGCCATTTTGCACTTCAGCTAGTTTTCAGATAGGGTCTCCCATTTTTACTCAGACCACGATTCTCCTGCCTGTGGTCTCCTCCATAGCTGAAGTCTCACTAATTTTTCACCCAGACTGGCCTCGAACCTCTATCCTCCTGGCGTCCATCTCCCAAGAAGGTGGGATTACAGGAACCACCATTCCAGTCCTGCTAACCCAGTTTCTGAGTTTCTCAGACTTTGAGTCTCTGCTGCCTCCTGCCTTTCAGTGGGTTCATTGCTAATTAGCATCTCTCTTTCAGACTAGACAGGAGAAATAGAAGGCTGAAATGCAAGCTGCTTCTTTGGCGGCGGGGGGGGGGGGGGGGGGATTGGGGTTTGAACTCAGGGCTTCATGTTTGCTAGGCTGTACCCCTTCAGCCATACCTCCAGTCCATTTTGCTCTGGTTATTTTGGAGATACAGTCTCAAGCTATTTGCCTGGGCTGGCCTTGAACTACGATTCTCCTGACCTCAGCCAAAAGTAGGTAAGATTACAGGTGTGAACCACTAGCACTCCACACACCTTGTTTAATTGCTGTAAGCAGTGTTAATGAGAAGGACAGGTTGGAGTCATGATATTAAACCAAGTTTGGGGGTGATCTATGGGATTTGTTATCTGTGCTGTTCCTGTTTCCCATTATGGAAGTTAGCTATATAGCCATCAGAAAACAGGTAAAACAGAAGAGGGTGTCACCCTGAGAATGTATATCAGAGAATGTAGATTTGCACCCTGACTGGGACACACAGGCAACCATGTGGCTAGTGATGTATCTCACCAGCTGTTTTAAGGCTGCATGGTCCCTCTGCCACCCCTTACATTCTGCCTCCTGCAACCCTCCCTTCAGGTCATGAAACGCGTGCGTACGGAGCAGGTCCAGGTGGCGGTGTCCTGCTACCTCAAACGCCGGCAGTACGTGGACTCAGACGGTCCCCTGAAGCAAGGCCTGAGGCTGTCACAGACCCCTGAGGAGATGGCAACCAACCTCACAGGTAACAGTTCTGCTGCTGGTGCCCATGTGCAGTCTCAGGACAGCGCACAACAGGCTGCCAGCCAGCCCTGCGGCCCCAGGCTAAGTCACTTTTCCTTCCTCAGCTTCTGGATTGTTTTATTTGTGCCTGATGGTGTGCGCACGTCTATTACCCACCCAAACCTTGAGGACAGGTCCTCTCCATGGCATGGAGCCTTTCCTATAGAAGTCAAGTTTGCAGGCTGGTGTACACTTGGAGATCCGTGGTTGGAAACACACGTCCTGGGATTTTCTTGTTTTTGAGACAAAGTCTGTCTGTATAGCCCAGGCCAGCCTGAACTCAGCCTCCTTAGTGATGGGATTATAGGTGTGGACACCGTATCTCAAGATTTTTCTGTTTTGAAATCAGATTCCTAGAAAGCATATCAAGTGATTATTACTAAGGTGCTTTGTGAGCTCAGGATTTTATGTGAGGTGATTTTTTTTTTTATATTTTTATTATTTTTTTGGTGGTACTGGGGTTTGAACTCAGGGCCTTATGCTTGCCAAGCAGGCACTCTACTACTTGAGTCTACAGCCCTGGCCAACCTGGATCCTTCAACTTAGGCTTCCCCAGTAGCTGAGATGGCGGCCAGGTGCCACTGCATCCACATCTTAGTGATTATGGTGGGGGTCTTACAAACTTTTTGCCTGGGCTGGCCTTAAACCACAGTCCTTCTGATCTCTGCCTCCTGAGGAGCTAGGATTATAGTTGTGAGTCACTGCACCTACCTTGTGCACTATCATGCCTTTGGTATGTGCATGGCCTCCTGCCCTGTATTTGTGGAACCTTGGGCAAGTGGCTTTGCCTTTGATAGGAAGGAGGAGAGAGTACTGCTGAGTCACGTGCAGACTTCATTCTGCAATCCAGATGCAGTGGCTTTTCAAGAGAGCCTGAGCCATCCCCGGAAGCCATCAGGATGTGCGGACCAGAAGCATGGTGGTCAGAAGGTTTTGTCCTGCATCTGTCTGGTTTTTTGGTTTTGTTTTGGTGTTGGTATTGGGCTTGACCTCAGGACCTTATGCTTGCTAGGTAGGCACTCTACCACATGAGCCATGCCTTCAGCCCTTTTTGCTTTAGTTATTTTCTAGCTAGGGTGTAGCATATTTGCCTGGGACCAGCCTCAGATGATGGTCCTCCTATGTCTACCTCTTGCATAGCTGGGATGACAACCACACACCACCATGCATGCCGCTTGTTGGTTGAGATGAGGTCTTTGTAATTTTAGCCCAAGCTGACCTCCAACTTCAGTTCTCCTGATCTCTACCTCCCAAGTAGCTGGGATTATAGGCGTGAAGCACTATGCCTGCCCTACCCTAACTTGGGTGTTTCTGGTAAGTGAGTGATCTGAGTGACAGGGTCTTCATTTAGCAAACATTCATTGCACATCTGCTCTGAGCCAAGTGCTAACACATCCTAGAGCTAGCCAAGATTGTATTCCAGCTCCAAGGAGCTAAACGCTCCACTGAAAAAGCGAGGGGGTCAGAGACAGTAGGAGGCAAAGTGTGATGAGCTCTGGACGGGGCCTCAGGTTCTGTGAGGGCAGAGAAGATGGTGATCTGCAGTAGGCTGGCAGGACGAGGAAGGCTCTCCAAAAGGCCAGTGCTTCCTGACTTATGTCAGCCAACAGATGGTAGAAAGAATGGGCTGAGTGCGAGTCCTCACTAGAGAGGGCCCAGGTTGGAATCAAACAAGTCAGGCACAGGTGCGACCTGGAGAAGAGCAAGGACAGCCTGAGGTAGGGAGTATGCATGGAGAGGACAATCTGTAGGTTCATGATGGTGGGGAAAGGGAGGGAGCCTGCTGTCCCCCGTACACCTTCCAGAAGGCCAGCTGCTCCAGCTTCTCTGAGTCCTGCTAGGGCATGTTCACCCTACTTCCAGATCTCCTCTTCTTTATGCTATAATGTGACCTCTCGGTTCTCTGTGTTCGTTACCACTCTTCCATTCATACTTCAGTGTCTGGAGGTGTTCATGCATCATTCAGGTTACTTTGAAAATGGTTTCTCTCCAGAGAAGGGCTAAGGGAATTTGGGCTTTCTTTGTAGAAAGCATAAACTGACAGGATGGGGATTAAGTGCTAAATGTTGAGACCCCAGCTTTCTTCCCTCAGGCAGCTGCCCAGAGCACTGCAGCCAGTCACATCCTTGGGTTTCTCACCTGCACAGGACAAGGGTCTGAATGACACTGATGCTGGGAAACTTTCCATCCAGGTCATCCTGGGTGGTGGGCCACCACAAGTGTTCCCACCAAACCTGGTGCCTGCTGTCACTCTAGGGACCGTCAGGCCCTGGAGAAGCGTGCCTTGTGGGAGACATGAGAGAAACATGGAAATCTTAAGGTTGCAATCAGCACAGCCTTGAGAGGAGAAGATACCGTTTAGGGGCAGAAGAACATTCAGAGGATTTTTTAAAATGTCAAACGTGATAGTTGAAAGGAACGTGGGCCAAAATAAATCCATGCTTTTTAAAAAAATAAGTGAAGAGCAGGCACCAGTGGCTCATGCCTATGATCCCAGCTACTTGGGAGACTGAGATCTAGAGGATCACCATTCCATGCCAGCCCAGGCGAATAGTTCATGAAGCCCCCATCTCCAAAATGACCAGAGCAAAATGCACTTGAGGTGTGGATCAAGCCGTAGAGTGACAGCTTTGCCAAGTGCAAAGCTCTGAGTTCAAACCCCAGCCCCGCAAGTGGAAAAGCAAAAAGAAAAAGGTGGGAGAAGTGTTTAAAGTTGAAGAAGCCTCCTAGAAAGTAGAACAAAGTGACATGGAATGTGGGAGAGAAGAAGAAAGGGTCATTCAGGGTATCCACCCTGAAATCACAGAACTGGAAGGCAGGACGTCCTGGGTTGAAAAGACCCAAGTGCCCTGCTCAGTGGGTGAGAACTGGCCCCCATCATTCACATCAGAGCACGTCAGAGCACAGGCCAGACAAACTTCAGGAACACACGGTGCTGTTCTGTCCACTTGCTTGTTCTGTGCTTTCTACCTTTCCATTCCTCTGCCCTGGTTCTGTGGGGGTGTCAGGAGAGAGGGGCAGTGCTTACCTAGAGAACTTGCTAGAGTGTCAGGTGCCATGGGTGCCACAACACCATCATCATGTCATGTGTGAGTGTTAATGGTCTTCCTGCCCCTGTCTGTGTCTTCCTCACAGTCCAGTCAGAATCTGGTTGTGCCAACATGGTGTCTGCAGCCCCCTGCCAGGCAGAGCCCCAGCAATATGAAGTACAGTTTGGACGGCTGCGAAGTTTTCTCACTGGTAAGTCCTCAGCGTGGGGAGAGCATGGCATAAGAGATTGAGCAGCGCGTATGTCATCTTGAGCCTTTGAATGTTAGGGTCAAGAGAGTCAGGCATTTGAACACAGATCCTCCATACGCAGAGGGAATTGCCTAGGGCATTAAATCATGTGGTTAAAGTACAAAGCAAGGACAGGGTCTTGGGTATTTTATTCACTGTTTTGTCCATGGCTTACAGCACGGTGACTTGTGACCTATGTGGAATCAACATGAAGAGAGGCATCCTTCATTCAGTGCAGCAGGTTTGAAATGCACATGGGTACCTTTCTAATAATGTCATAGGTGTGTCACTTCCACAGTTAGGAGGAATGTTCTAAATAAGTGTACATTCAGCCAAACAGAGTATGTGGACTTGCCCTCTCCCAAGCTGACCACGTGGTACATGCAGCCCGCTGTTGACTGCACAGTTACAGTTAGAGCCACATCGAGCTCTAGGTAGTCTGGAAGTTGTGCATCACTGTATTCTGACAGCTAGGATTTCCCTAAATTTGTAAATTCTAAGGAGTTGAGGGCTGGAGATACGGCTCAAGTGGGAGGCCCTGAGTTCAAGCTCCAGCACTGCAAAAAAAAAAATTCTAAAAAATTGCAAGCCACCCACCCTTCATCCCAGTAGATGTATTGGAAGACTACTCTCTCAAGGGCTCAGTCTTTCTGTTATTTGTAATTGGTATATTCATATGTTGGGAAAGAAGTCTTCCAAGTTACAGAATTTAAAGAAACACCAAAATCAACATTAGTCAGGGTTTTCCAGAGACCCAAGATGTACAGAGAGAAAGATTTATTTTAAGGAATTGTCTGATGTACTTGGAGAGGTTGACAAGTCCAGGATCTGCAGGGCAGGCTGGAGACCACAGAAGAGTTCATATTGCAGCCCAAGTCCAAAGGCCATCTGCTGGCAGATTTCCTTCCTGGATACTTTTCAGTCTTTTTCCATTTAGACTGATTGGATGAGACCCACCTACTTTATGGAGGATAGTTGCTTTTTAAGTTTGCTTACTTTTAACATTAAGTGTACTGACTTAAGTGTTAATCTCTTCCTAAAATAATATCACAGCAACATCTAGAATGAAGTCTAACCAGATACCTGAGTTTTGTGGCCCAGCCAGTTTGACACACAAAATTAATCACTACAACTCCACTGCTGTGCAGCTTCTCCTTATTCTGTACTTACTTTTTAACATAATCTCAAAGTCCTACTCTGCCCAGCATGACCTGCTGCCCTGTGTGCAGCCAAAGTATGCTGGCCATTTCTCTGAAGGAGGAGACACGTCCACAACTTGGGCTGCTGTCTAAAGTTAACAGTGCATAAATGCTATGACAGAAAGTGTTTGTCTTGGGTACATGAGCATGAGTTAGGGAGAAGCAGATATTTGCTTAGTAGACTGTGCACAGACACACATAACGAAGGAAGAGGTGCTCAGGACAGCCCCAGCCTTCCTTCTCCAGTGTCACGTGGTGGCAGCTGTTTGCATGCCCTCTTCCCCCACCTGTCCATGTTGCCTTTGGTGTCAGCAAGTGCCTAAGCTGCCTGTGCTTCTTGACCTGGGTTGACCATCCGAGGGTCTGTGCCTGATTGGCTTGTGGTTATCCACTGACTGGTGAGTGGGTAAGCTGCAGTGCTGGGAGTGCTGAGGATTCTCAGCCAGACATACTCCTCAACCCACTGTGAGCCTCTGATCTCCCTTGTGTGACGATTAGCCACCCAGCCTGCACAGTGGCTCTTCATTTGGCTTGTGGCCTAGAGCACATGGAGCCCACAGGTTGGGTGCTATATTACCTTCCACTCCAGTGAGGTCATTGCTTATCATTGAGGTCATCTTTTCAATGTGTATTTGAGGAAGGTACATTTATTTTAGGTGCACTTACTGCACAGATTATTACTTTGTGGTAAAGCAGAACTAGTATCATTTATTAGCAATTTAGAAAGCAAAGTGGGCACAGTGGCTCACTCCTTTAATTCCAGCTACTCAGGAGGGCTAGGATTGGGAGGATTGCGGTTCAAGGCCAGCCGGGTAAAAGTTAACAAGACTCCATCTCAACAAATAAGCTAGCTATGGTGGCAGACGCCTGTAATCCCTGCCACTGAGGAGGTAGATGAAATCCACGGATTTTGCCACAGCTAACCAGCTACTCCCAATGGGTGGCTGGGTGGTGCTGCGGCCCGTGGCAGGCTCGTCCTGGCTCATCTACTGGGCTGGTGTCCTGTGTGGCCGCCTGCTCTCGCTGTCTGAAGAACCCACAGCTGCACTCTTGGTGTGCTGCTGCCCCCACTTGCACCTTCACTTAGGTGTCACATGCACTTCTTTTTCCATAGTCTGTGATGGTTACAGGTGGACATTGTTTTGTTTTGTTTTGTTGATGGGACTGGGGTTTGAACTAAGGGCTTTGCACTTGCAAAGCAGGCACTCTACTGCTCAAATTAAATCTCTGGTCCATTTTGCTCTGGTTATTTTGGAGGTGGGGTCTCATGAACTATTTGCCCAGACTGGCTTCAAACTGTGATCCTCCCAATTTCAGTCTCCCAAGTAGCTAGGATTACAGGTGTGAGCCACCTATGCCTGGCACAGCAGGACACTTTTGAACATTCTTTGTTGCATAGTTTTAAGCATTAAAGTCTCAAATTACTAAGGAGTCTCTTTTTTTTTTTTTCCAGGGGGACATGGGATTGAACTCTGGGGCCTTGTACATGCCCCATGCCCCAGCCCTTTGTTTTGTTTTTTGAGACTAGCCCAGGTGGATCTGGAACTCCCGAACCTCTGCCTCAGTCTCCTAAGTGGTAGGATTACGGGTGTGATCACCACTTCCATATTAGGAGGAGTCTTTTTTTTTTTTTTTTTTTTTTTTTTTGTCTTCACGTCAGACTGGTTATGTGCTGTCGTCGTAACAAGGTTTGAGGGAGGCACATGTCACACAAAGGCATGAACACCCAGTCATCATGATTAGAAACCAAAAAAGGATCCAGGAGACTCATCTTAATGACAAGAAGATGTCTCATTTATAACTTGTCACTGCAAAAGAGTTTTATGTTTTTAACAAGTCAAAATGAGAACATCGACAAGGTCATTAGGGCATGGCAGTGTGGACAGCTGAAGTGGTGAGCTTACCAAATAAGTGCTGCGATTTTACCCTGGGTGATGGGACCTGGAAGGACTTAAACTCAGACTGGACTTCCTTCCAGGTGCCATCCAGATAATTTCAAATATCCCGTGTTCATGACTTTTAAGACTATCTCCAAGTTAGAAAGTCTTTGCAAAGAACTTATTCTCCCAAGAGTACATAAGGGCCCTCAGAGACACCGTCTCCAATTTGAGAACTGCTACTGTGTTGGGATAGATGCTGACCCGTGAAGACCTGGGCATAGCTGCTGAGTTGTTGTGAGGTGTGGGCAAGTCCTCTATCCCCTGGGCTGGATCAGAGTCCATGACCTCCTTCCTCAGTCACAATTCTGTGAGGGCTAGTATTTCAATCAGAATGCAGAAATGGGGTCCTGAGCAGAAAGTGTTAGGGGATAGGGTCCCCATCAGGCCCCCTGTCTGCTCCGTGAGTCTGCTGAGTGCCAGCCCTCACTTCTTTCATTGCAGATTCTGATTCCCAGCACAGCCATGAAGTGATGCCTCTCCTGTACCCCCTCTTTGTCTACCTCCATCTCCACCTGGTCCAGAACAGCCCCAAGAGCACCGTGGAGAGCTTCTACAGCCGCTTCCATGGGATGTTCCTGCAGAATGCAGCTCAGAAGGACGTCATCGAGCAGCTGCAGACCACGCAGACTGTCCAGGACATCCTGTCAAACTTCAAGCTTCGCGCATTCCTAGACAACAAGTATGTGGTCCGTCTCCAAGAAGACAGCTACAACTACCTGATCCGCTACCTCCAAAGCGACAACAACACTGCCCTGTGCAAGGTCCTCGCTGTGCACATTCACCTGGATGTGCAGCCTGCCAAGAGGACAGACTACCAGCTGTACGCCAGCGGAGGCTCCTCGCGCAGTGAGAGTGGTGGCCTGGAGCCCCCGGAGGTGCCCAACCCTATCCTGCCCAACGAGGCAGCCCTGGAGGTCCTGCAGGAGAGCATCAAGCGTGTCAAGGACGGGCCCCCCTCCCTCACGACCATCTGCTTCTACGCCTTCTACAACACAGAGCAGCTGCTGAACACCGCGGAGATCTCCCCCGACAGCAAGCTGCTCGCTGCAGGGTTTGACAGCTCCTGCATCAAGCTCTGGAGCTTGCGGTCCAAGAAGTTGAAGTCAGAGCCCCACCATGCGGATGCATCCCGCATCCACCTGGCTTGTGACACTCTGGAGGAGGAGGTAGGAAGCTGTGTTTCCTTCCCTGCACCTCCTTCCCAGCCAGTAGAGCGCTCTTCTCACCCAACAGGTCTCGTGGAGGACAGATGTCTGCATTTCCCTCATGTACAGCATTGAGTCCTGCTCGTGCCTAAGCAGGCAGCAAAACCAGTCCTCAGGCACTAACTTTCATTAGAATTACTACCTAGCGGCCAGTGTCAGTACTGAGAAGCAGGTGCCCTTGCTGGCCCTGATGAAGAGACCTTCAGCTAAGGCTGGCTGGGTGGAGGTCACATTTGTATGTGAGCGCTGATGCATGTGTGCACTGATTAATACACGTGCTGTGTGCTGCCTGACGTGTGTAAGCATTGGCATGTGTGCGTGGTGTGTGCTGATACTTGTGTGCACTGATTCATACATGTGCTGTGTGCATGGTGATACTTGTGTGCACTGATTCACACATGCGCTGTGCCCCAGCTTGCATGTGAGCATGGCACATGCTGATGTATGTGTGCACTGGTTCATATGTGTGCTGTATGCAGCTGACATTTGCATAGTGCATGGTGATGCTTGTGTGCACTGATTCATACGTGTGGTGCATGGTGATATGTGTGTGCACTGATTCATTTGTGTGCCAGCTGATGTGTATGGTGTGTGCTGATGCTTGTGTGCACTGACTCATGCTGATATGTGCAAGCAGCTGATTCATGATGTGCGCTAACGCCTGTGCACACACTGCGCAGGTGTAAGCACCTAGAAGCAGGTTGCTAGGTTGGGGTCTGCATTTAAACCATAATGGAGAATGTCCTCCCCTGCAAGAATCTGGCTGTTTCTCAGTCACATCGGCACAGCAAGGACACTGGCAGGACTGGCATTCTGAGGTCAGCACCCCTCCCCTGGCTCCATGTGTCCAAGGTGTTCTCAAGCCACATTTTGAAAAGTGACACAGGGAGTAGAGCTGCCTTGTCCAGAGCAGGGACCTAGTACAGGTCATGTGGTTGGTTTGGGATGGTCATCGAAAGGACCGAATGTCGCTCACAAAAGTTGCTGCTGTGGAATGAGGGCACAGGAAGACTTCACAGTCAGCATCTCCTGCCCACCCACAAAAGCTGACCCGTTACCACTGAGATTCAGGTAGCTCTACCTCGAGGTACTTTGAATGGAAAGTTCTTTGCATAGAGTTGAAAAACTAAAGAGTGAAAAGAACCACTTTAAGTAAATTGTAACAGCTCACAGGGATGTCAGGAATATCGTGCACACCAATGCGAGCTCTGGACTCCCTCTTCCTCATTCTGAGTCAGGTTACTGGGTTATGTGACAGGTGAAGAAGATGTGTGCAGGGGGTGCTGGTTTCTCAGACCTGAGCAGAAGCGGTGGCAGGAGAGGCTGTCCACAGGAATGGTTGCTTTCTTGAGCATCTCTGGTTTGTTCACATGCATGTCAAAAGTACTCCAGGCTCTGACCTCTATTTTATTAAGAACAAACTTCTAACTTTACTAGAGTTAGGACAACCTCCCCATTGCTGAGAGCTCCCTACCTAGGCTCTGCCCTTTCTTCTAAGCAGTTTGGGGAACTTTGGTTCTGCCCCAAACTTTAGACGCCAAATCAAGGACAGGCTCTTCTTTTCGGCCAGTGTACACAGCAGCCCTCATTGCACTCGTGTCCTGCCCATGGCCAACACAGAGCTCCTGTGCTCAGTGCACAGTCTGCTGAGCTTCAGGCTTGAAATCAAGTCAGTGATGTCAGCCGTGTCATTTCTGTGATTTGTACATGAAGCTGCTGTTTAAGTCAGTGCTGTCTAGTGGGCATGTAAAGTGATCCCATGTGTATAATTTAGGCTTTTCTAGTAGCTACATTAAAAAGGCTTTAAAAATTGTCAAAATTAATTTTAATTATGTATTTTTTTAATTCAATATGAACAAAATACTATTTTAACATACGAGCAATATTATATCATTCATGAAATTCCCTACCTATATCTCTTTTTTGTTGTAAATCTTAGAAATCTGGTGAGTGTGTACATGTCGGCTTATGGCAGTTTGCACCCGCCAGCAGCCACCTTTTCTGCTCTAGCTCAGGCTGTTGATACCTGCTAGGCAGGCACTCTATGCTTGAGCCACACCTCCAGCCCAGGCTGCTGTCCTGTCTCACACGTAGCAGTTTCACTTGCTCCTAGGTCTTAGCACAATTGAAGCACAGCTAGAGATAACTTCTTTATTTCCCAACAGCTCCGGAGAGCAACTCAAGACCAAGGTCCAGACCCCAAAAGTATGTCTGGCCCAAGGAAGGCTGTGTGAGCCAAGGTCCCGGGGTATTCTGGTGTAGGAGCACTGGAGCAGGCATCAGCACATCTTAAAGTTTCTATTTCATGCATGTTTTACAGTGTGCATGATAGAGTTTATTGTTGCTTGAGTATACTTAACAAATCAACATTCCACATTTGGACTGCATGCCCACTTACTGCTGTAGGGGACTGGAGTGAGGACCCCTGGGCTGGGCATGTGCAAGTGCAAAACACCCATGGGAAGACGCTAATGCCCTGTGGGACTGGGTTGAGCCTCACTAGTAAACATGGCTGGGCTATTTTAGGCTGTAGTCTGGCAGGGAACTGGCATTGATAGCTGGCAGGAGCAGAGGTTTTACTGCTTCCATATCTTGGTCTCCAGTCCATCAGGCACTTTTCCAGGCTTAGGACCAGCTGACCCTGGTGCTTCTACTCCATCCAGTGACCCCTATAGGTGAAGGCTGGCCTCCACAGCTGCCTGTTCTGAGCAGAGACAGTGACACACCCTCTAGTCCACAGTTCACTTCAGATACAAAGATCCAGGGTCATTTTTGTCCTACAGTCCTTCTATGAACTGCCTGATGCAGAGCAGGGAGTCACACGTGAAATTTTAAAGTGTGATTGTAACCTCTTTGGAAGGGAAGATTGCTGATACTCTTGGTTGTGCTGGGGGACCCCTGAGGCCCTAGGTGCTTACGTATTTCTACTGTGGCCCAGCTAGAGCAGCCATTGTGAGTCTCCACAGACACACTGACTCCAGCAGTGCATGCCCTGAAGGTGTCTTTTATTTTTACTTTGTTTTCAAGTAGAAGTAAGGGTGGCCTAATAAAAGGAGCCCTTTTCCTACATAGACTCTGTCTCACTCCTTCTGGTATTTAATTAAAAGCCACTGTCGTCATGGACTCCAGGATAGACACAAACGTAGTTCTAAAAAGCTTGTCCATGAAGGAATAAAGGGGAAGTGTATTTGAAAGCAGGCAGCAGCCTTGTGGGTGAGCTGTGGCAGCAGACTTTATTTTCAGGTAGCATTAGTGGCTGTCACCTTCTCCATCCTCATGCACAGGAAATTATTTCCAAGACTTACATGAGTCATGGCTTTGTTTAGTCAATTCTGAATCCATGCCTTACTTTGTTACTTGAGGAGAAGTGTTCAAGACCCTCCATCTTCATTCCTTTTGAGAGATGAGTAGTGTATCATGTGGTGGGGAGGGTTGTCCTGTGCTGGTGACTGAGCCTTCTGGCTTATTGTCCACAGACATCAAGGTTTTATTTAGTGCAGGCTGGCGTCATACTTGATCCTCTGGTGAGTTTTCAAGTGTGCACCACCACCATGCCCGACTCTTAAGTCCTACATTAATCTTGATGTGAGACCTTTCCTGTGCTCATATGTGGCTGCCCTCAGGGGAGTAACTTACCTATCCAGATATTTTTTTCCTGGTGCTAGGAATTGAACTCAGAGTCTTGTGTATGCTTGGCAAGTGCACTACCACAGAGCTATACCCCCAGTCATGGGTTTTTGAAATGGGATCTTGAGGCCCCAAACTAGTTTCAAACTCAAGATCCTCCTAGATCCAGGTGCTGGGAACAGGTGTGCACCACCATGCCTGGCTCTGGATTTTTTAAAAGGAATAGAAGCAGGGAGCAGCGTAGCTTATAAAGCTGACAACTAGAGACAGTGCCATAGAGGAGAATAGTCTAGGAACTTAGCATGGATTCAGAGGACATCAAAATTAACAATGAAAGTTGACACGGGCTGCCTTTCACTCAGATTTTCTCTCAAAGTCTTCTTTGCTGAACTTTGGTTTTGTGGTACTGGAGATTGAACTCATGGCCTCATGCTTGCTGGGCGAGCACTCTACCATTTGAGCTACACCCCCAGTCACTCAGATTTTGAGATAGAATGTTATCCTCAGTCCAGATTAAGGTGCCAGCCAGTACTTATACTAGTCTTGTGTTTCTGTCTTTGATCTGATGTAGCTGCAAGATGGATTTAAGGACAGCCATTCTTGGTCTGTAAGAGTCTTTCTTTTTGCATGCCATTAGGAGTTGTCTCCCTGGACAGATTTCCCAGGCAGGCCTTTCTCTCTACTTTCCCCTCTCCTGGATGTGTTTTCCCTGAGAGACCACTAACCCTTTCCTCCTTGTTCGTGTTTTCTTTCCCACCTGCCATGTCACAGGAGGATGAGGAGGACAGCGTGGGCACGGAGATGAAGGTGCTGCGGGGCCACTCTGGACCAGTGTACAGCACGCGCTTCCTCGCAGACAGCTCAGGGTTGCTCTCTTGTTCTGAAGATATGTCCATCAGGTACTGGGACCTGGGCAGTTTCACCAACACTGTGCTGTACCGAGGGCACGCCTACCCTGTGTGGGACCTGGACATCAGCCCCTACAGTCTGTACTTTGCCAGCGGCTCCCATGACCGCACTGCCAGGCTGTGGTCCTTCGATCGGACGTACCCACTGCGGATCTATGCAGGGCACTTGGCGGATGTGGACTGTGTCAAATTCCACCCCAACTCAAACTACTTAGCCACAGGCTCAACCGACAAGACCGTGAGGCTGTGGAGCGCCCAGCAGGGGAACTCAGTGAGGCTCTTCACTGGCCACCGGGGCCCTGTGCTCTCCCTTGCCTTCTCTCCCAATGGTAAGTACTTGGCGTCCGCAGGCGAGGACCAGCGGTTGAAGCTGTGGGACTTGGCCTCCGGGACCCTTTTTAAAGAACTGAGAGGCCACACGGACAGCATCACCAGCCTGGCCTTCAGCCCTGACAGCGGCCTGGTGGCTTTCTGCCTCCATGGACAACTCTGTGCGTGTCTGGGACATCAGGAATACCTGCTGCAGCGCGCCTGCTGACGGCTCCTCGGGTGAGCTCGTGGGTGTGTACACCGGGCAGATGAGCAATGTTCTGAGTGTGCAGTTCATGGCCTGCAACCTCCTTCTGGTGACGGGAATCACACAAGAGAATCAGGAGCATTGATTTTTTATGTAGGGTGGAGTGGACTGGGAGGGCTGGAAGGCCTCTGGCTACAGCCGTGGACATGCTGAGACTGAATCACTGATTGTGAAGGAGCCCCTCCCTGCCTCCAGGCGCTCACTGGGCAGCTCCTGCACACAGCCCACAGGGCCACAGGGCTGCAGAGGGGGTGACACCTGGACTCCAGGTGAGAACTAGAGGTCGGGTACCGGTTCTCAGAGAACGCACCAGACCTCTGGGTGTAGTACCTCCCCAGCTACACTCATCCTGTCCTCCCCCGTGGGTGTAGGTGGTGCCTTCTGTGGGCCACCCCCAGCAAGGGAGGCAGGGACAGCAACTAGGAAAGGAAGAGGTGATCCTTTTCCATATAAGAGAGAACCAGGATTCTTTTATTATTATTATAACTATAATTATTATTGTTGAGAAGAGGAAACCTAGCACTGGCAGAGGGGCCTTCTCTGCTTTTATCTTTCAGGTTTGACTCCTGGCACTGGCTGTGAAACTTGGAACTTTGAGGTTCAGGGAATTCAGAGAATTTGGTGGCCCAGTGTTTAGGGAGAAAGGGAAGTCTGGGGTGTAGATTGACCCTGCCTGATGACGTGTTTCTTGAAGTGGGTGGGCAAGTTGACTGGACATTGAGCTGTTGCAGTGATAATGAGAAAGATTCTTTTCTTGGCTGCACGTCTGTCAATAATTTTTTCCCCTGAAACAGAAAGATTATGAGGGGCTGGGGGTGTAGCTCAGTGGTAGAGCACTTGCCTAGCATGTGTGAAGCCCTAGGTGTGATCCCTAGCACCAAAAAAGTAAAAAGATTATGCTGAAGAGTAATTTGGAATAAGTCACAAGATAGGTTTAGGAAGTGTTGGGTTTCAGATGAACATGGCTTTTGGTGTCTTCCTGCAATGACCCCCACCCTGCACTGCAGCACCAGTCTCATGAACGAATGTGTTGTGAGCAAGCGCACGTAGCGTACATATCAAACATGCGCCAGAAAAGCAAGTTCTAGTGTGGGGGAGAGTAAATATTTCTGTTTTCTGAAAAGAGTTATTTTGTATTTTGTTTTCTATTAAAATGTATTTAGTTTCAAAAAAAAAAAAAAAACAGTGTCAGCATTTCATTTGCACTCTTAGGGTGGGCAGGTCCATGGTCCTGGGTGGCCTTTGCCTCCTTTCACCATAGTGGCCAGTGCATCTTCAGACCAGCCCAAGGCAGGTGCATCTCCATCTGTCCTGTATTCTGTCCTGATTCCTTCCTTCTGGCATTCACTTGAATGACAGTGGCAGCAATGCCATTTGTACATTCAGGACTGCAGTTGCATGTGATTACCAATGAGTCATTTGTAAGGAAGGTCCCTTTTCAGCTGCCTAGAACAATCCTGTCTTAAAACCTGTAAGGGACATAAGAACAAACTCAAGCTATTTATGAGCAATTCCAGATAAATGACTCAGTCAAAGATTAAGTGATGCCAAGTTAAAATAAATTGACTAATACTGTATGGGTAGAATATATTGCCTTGGGTCAGAAATTAGAGGTCATTTCTGCTAAGAGTTAATGTATCTTTTAGTCACATTTGGAAGAGAAGTACATGAAATAGCACAAAGAAATTGTGCCTGAAACCCTCATACACACTTGGCAGGTGAGTAGAACTGTATCTTCAGTTTTTTTAAACAAAACTACTTTGAAACATGGTTTTCTGGGAAGGACATCAGGAATTGCCAGAAAAACTAAGTAGGACTCTAGAATGTCATTTCAGTTTTGTTTTGTTCTTAAAATGAGCCTACAATGCTAAGTAAATGTTTCTTTTTTTATAAGCCATATTTTTGAGGATCCTTTGGTGGGCTGGCTTGACATGCTCTACAGGGAAAGCCTGGCATGCAGGTGTGTGCTCACCTGTAGTGAGAGTGCTTGGGTGTGCTGTGTTGTGTCACTAGGAATGGCTGAAGGGTCCTGCAAAGCGAAGGCATCGCTGACTCAGGATGTCCAGAAAACATCTTGTGTCTGCACCCTCAGGTGCTCTGCAGAGTGCTTGCTGTCCCTCAGAGTGGCCCTGTGGAGCTGGGGACACCTGGAGCCCAGCGCGGGGTGTTCCCACCTGCACCAGGAGGAACCTGTCCTGGATGTGTTCTGTGGAGGAGTATCCCACCTTCTAAGGAGGTAACAGCCTTGAAGATAGAGTTTTCTTTAAAACCCTCCAAAAAGGGAATGTGACCATGCATCTGCAGGGTGTCAGGCTTAGGAAATCTGACTCAATTTAATTTAGTAGAAAAAGACTGGCCAAGAAGAGGAGAGAGACTGGAGGAAAGCATTGAGTAGAGGTGAAATAGGACTCTGTTCAGAATCTTGAGTCTGGGGATAGCACGATCCTGTGAGATTCACATGTCTGTTCATGCTTGTGCGATGGCTTGGCTGCGTTAAAAGCCTATTGAGTGAGTGCACAGAGTTCTGATTTTGCTGTGGCTCAGCTTGGCCTTCAACATGTGAGTTAAAAGCATGGTTTGCGTTTCCTCCTGTTCTTTGGTTGCATGTTTTAGTGGAGTGCTCAGTTCTGTGCCCAGCCCCCACCAACATTCCTGTCACTGACACCTGCTGTGCGGGAAGCTAGAGTCCCTACTGTAGACTGTAAGGAATACAGAAGTCCTTGCCGGTTTGACTCATTGAAGGACAATGTGGGTGCTCACCTATGATTTGCTAAATTCCCTGTATTTTTATATGAATGTGTAAGCTTCTCCTATGACCAGACCAGGCGTGCTGGTGGGTGGAGATGCAGTGTTGAGCAGAACTCATATGGTCCCTGGCTTGAGTTCACAGAGGAGGACAGGTAGTAGTCGAGTAACACCATAAACAAAGGTGTGATTTTTAAGCTCTGTGCAGCACAGGGTTCTGTGGAGAGAATAGGTTCAGGGATCTCATTTGAATCCAGCACTCAAGGCCTCTGCGGGCTGCTGCAGTGGCTCACATTTACAATCTCAGCTACTTGGAAGGCAGAGATTGGGAGGACTGAGGTTTGAGGCCAGCTCATGAGACCCCTCCCCCATATCAATCTTACCAGCTTTTAGCTGGGGGTGGTGGCAAGCACCTGCCACCCCAGCTATGCGGGAAGCATAAATAAAAGGATCACTAGCCTGGGCTAAATGCAAGACCCTAACTGAAGGTGGAAATGGATGGGGCGTGGCTCAGGTGTTGGAGCACCTGCCAAGCAACTGCAAGGTTCTGAGTTCAAATCCCCGAACTGCCACAAGAAAAAACAAAAAAGCTTCTGAGGAAGTAACTGAGCTGAACTTCAAGACAGCAAGCAGGAAGGCATGGCCCAGAGCCTGCAAGGGGGATGTGTTCCCTTGCAGTCCTGTGGGACCAGGACAGTGAGCGAGGGACATGTGGCACAAGGCTGGGTGATGGGCAGGGTCTTGGACACCAGTGGGGTCTGGCTCTTGTCCTTGGTGGATGGAAGCCGTTGAAGGGAGCAGGAGAGGGCAGCCACACAGTCCAGCCTCCACCTTGGGTGGAGGACAGAGGCAGCACATTTGCAGCTGGAATCTCTCTGGCAGAATGGCTCAGCAGGACTTTCTGAGCTGTCTGTGCCCAGCACGGCAGGGCACAGCTGATGGGGATGTCAGCTGTCCTATGGGGCAGCCCAGGGACAAAGCGGCCTGTATCAGCTGAGGCCCTGAATCCTCCTGCTGCTCACAGAAGTGAGCTGGGTGCAAATCCTGCTCACTGAGCCTTCCACAGGACTGAGGCTGACTGGAGTCTGTGAGAAGCCCTGAGGCAGAAGCACAGGGCTCCGGCAGCCATGTCCTGCTGAAAAAAGCAGCAGTGGGATGGAAAACGGTGTCAGCACTGACGGCTGGGTGGTTGTAGTGCTGTGGATAATTGCCCTGTCCAGCCTCTCCTGTGGCCCATTCTCAAATTCCATACCAGGGAAGACCACCTGCCCTTAACCATTGGTTGTTTCAAGGGACTCAGCTTGGGTACAGAGCTGAAGGCCATGCCACAGGCTGGGAGCCATAGCAGATGTGGAGAGGACAGGCAGGCCTGATGAGCCTCCAGAAGCAGAACAAGAAATGAGAAACGGTAACCAGTGTGTTTCTGCACAAGTGTCTTTTTTATTTATTTCCATTTTTTGAGCTAAAGATGGAGCCTAGGGCCTCATGCACAGCTGGCTTTACCTGCAGCCAGCTGTGTATTCTGTATTAGGATGAAAATAGAGGAAGAGATGGTTTGGGGAAAGGATGTAGAGTTTAAGTGGTTTGGGGTTTTTTTTGCGGGGGGGGCAGGGATTTAACAGGTGGTTCTGGGGTCTGAATTCAGGTCTTTGTGTTTGCTAGGCAGGCATTTGTTCATTTATTTTAAATTCACATTATTTCTCAGAATTGTTTTTTGAGAGGGGAATCTCACTGTGTTGCCCCAGGCTGGTTTTGAACTCACAGGTTCAATTGATCCTTCCACCTTGGCCTCCTGAGTCGCTGGGACATCAGGTGTGTGCCACTGAGCCTACCTGAGGATTTAGTGTGGCGATTCCACAACTTGAGGCTTACGAGAAAACCAAGGGTGTTGGGTAGTGAGGTCTGGAGCCCAGGACAGGGCAGGGCTCCTGCTGAGTAGGGAAGCCGCTTCCTCAGAGCACTGCCTGCTACAAGGGATGGAAATCTGGCTTCAAGAGGTTTGAGGTTTGAGACAGGGCCTTGCCCTATAGCGCAGGATGGCCTGGAACTCCATGTGGCCCAGATTGGCCACAAATGCATAATTCTTCTGCCCCATCCTCATAAGTGCTGGGATTACAGGAGTGCACCAGCATGCCGACCTGGCTCCAAGGATTTTTTTTTCTTTTCACTTTGGTGGTACTGAAGTTTAAACTCAGGGCCTCACTCACCCTTGCTAGGCAGGCACTGTACCAGTTGAGCCATGCTTGCAGCCCTCCAAGGGTTTTTGCTTTGTTTTAAGTAAGGAATTTTCTCAGTCACATAATAGAAATTCTAGAGGCCAGTGGATTTCCTGGGCTCCCTGCTTTGGAATACATCTCTTTTGTCTGTCTGTCTGCCTGCCTGTCTGTATCCCAGATGGCTTTGCCCACAGTTGAGAGAAGGTTCTGATACCTTTGGGGCACTCACCCTCCTGTCTAGCCAGAATGCCTCTACCTCCCTTCCCTGTTCCTCACTCTCCAGAGCCAAGGAGTCCCTAGAAGCCCTCAGCCTCTCTAGTTTGCATTAGGTCTGCCCGTCTCCAGATTCCTGATGAGTCACCCTGGCTTCTGCTAGTTGAGGTCATGTTCCGAACATGACATCGCTGTCCCATGGTCAGGTAATGTGAACGCTGGGGCACTACAGAGTTGCTGGCAGGCACTTGGAAATAAATGTAACAAGAATAAGGGCCCAGAGTGAAAGCTGAGGCTGTGTCCATGCCTTGACAGTCTCAGCATTTTGAGTTCGAACAGGACGAGTAGCCGACAAAGGAAGACAGTGGCCCAGAAGCCAGGGCAGAGCATCCTGGGCTGTGCTGCGGGGAGCACTGGTGAGGTGAGGCCAGAGCATCTGTTAGGTCTGCAGGAGAGGCTGACACCTCACCAGCAATGTGGATTGAGTGGTGGAAATGGATTGAAATGCGGACAGGTGATGTCATTTAGGACAGGTGACACACCACAGCAATGGAGAACAGACTTAGCAGGGTATGATGGCACACATCTGTAGTCCCAGCTACTCAGGAGGCTGAGGCAGGAAGCTCATTTAAGCCCAGGAGTTCAAGAATGGCTTGGGCAACATAGGAAGACTCTGTCTCTAGCAATAATAAGCCACAGTTGCTAAGATCGTTAGCTATCCATGAGGCAAAGAATGAAACTGGACCCCTACCTACCTCACTATACGTTGTCATATCAATTCTAGGAAAATTAAAGAACTAATTGAAAGACAAAGCCATTAATCACTTAAAAGAATATCCATGTAACCTTGGGGTAGGAAATTTCTAAAGCAAAAGAAAAGATTTAATTTCAAAAACACCTGTTAATCAAAAAAACA